ATCTCAATTTGTTTGTTGTTTCTTAAGATAAAGCAACAACAACATCAGCATCAGGAACAACAACAGCGACAGCAACACATAAAACACTCGCACCGCGCAGCACGCTTCTCATTTCAATTGTTTTCCTTATTTCCTTTCTCTGTCTGTCTCTCTTAGCAAATAATTAATAGTCTCCCGCGCCACGTGCCACACACGCGTAACAACAACACAAAAGTCACTGTTCAGTTTCCGCAGGATGTGTAAAATTACAGATTACGCATACGCCACGTTGTGCCACAACTTAACTCGGTTGAACTTTAGCTCAACTGTGCTTAGCAGCGCGCCAGCTAATTTATTGTCTATCGTTTTTATTGTGGCTGTTTGTTGTTGTCTGTCTTAATTCAAATGCAAGTTCAAATACAAATGCAATTTATGCATGTAAATCACAACGCTAGGCAAAGCGTTTGCAATTGCCAATTGCGCGCCAATTTTTTATTAGATTTTCATTTTCCTATTCTGTTGCAGTACTTAAAAACGTATTTTTGCCAACCTTATGGAAACGCTGGACATTTTAAAATATATACCATTTCTTGTTTACTTAAATCAATGTTGTTTTAAATATTATTAATTGGAAGCACACACACAGAAAAGACGCGCGATAACAAGGCTTAGATCAAGCTGTTGTGGCAGCCAGCACGGCGGATAATGTTTTCTATTTGTGTTGGATTTATGGACTTGGAATTATTGCGGTTTTGTTTCTATATATTATTTAATTTTTTTTTTTATTAGTATTATGTATTTGTTTAATTTTATCAAGCGATCTTTTTGAGATGTTGACGCGCGCGCAAAATTTTCTAACAGCTTGAAAACTTTTCCTAGCTGCGCAGGCAGTTTTTCTTCGCTCGATTTTGCAATCTGAGCTCAGCGCTTTTCCACAATTCTCTGACCGTTCGCCGGCGCTGTTAAACGAGAACTGAACGGGGGAACAGCGCACGAATCGCAGGCGACGAATGTAGCGAGAGCAGCAGCCGTGAAGCACGAACCGAAAGCAGCGCGACACGAGCAAAAACAAACGACTCGTTTACGAAGTGCTCTGCTCTGTTATTGTTGTTATTATTGTTGTTGCTTTTGTTGTTGTTGTTGTTGGCAGCCACAGACGCTGCGGATTGGCTTTTCTTAGTTTTGAGGGGCTCGCACCGTTAAATAGTGCCAGCAATTGGTTTGGGGTCAAGTTGAACTGAAGAAGTTATAGAAACGACGAGTAGCCGTAATACGTTGGTATTATATTACTTTATGTTACGCTTGATACTTTATTCAAATGCAAACAACAGCTCTCCTATATAATCTTATATGGGCCCATATAGTATGTTTATTATCTTTACAATTAAAGCAGCTTAAGCTTGGTAAAACATACTGCTTCTACTAAAGTTAATTTCGTTTGTATTTGAAACTCAGTTCCTTGGATACGAAGACAAATTTATCTAGTTTTATCCGGTTTTGCTAGCAGCTCAAAGTCCGTTCGGTGCTCGATATTTCGCAGCTCCGAAGTCGGCAATCGAAATATAATTTTCAAAAATTGTCCGCATTCCATTCCACAGAGGGGCGCAATGTGAAATTAACACCTTGTTAACATGTGGCTGGGGCGGTACATGTGACTGGCTCATTTACCCCCTTCAAACAATACCGGCTATAATGTTATCTCAACTCTCGGTTTCAATCAATTCTTAGAATTCAGTGCTGCAAATTAAAATTTTGTCAACTCGCATTTTAATATACCTCGAACACTGTTTTCGCTGCCATTATTATAGTGGAATGTGAAATACCGGCACTCGAAACTCTCATGAATGGAACGTTAAATATGCAATTGAAATCTCGTTTTTTTTTACCTACAGCTATAAAATTTTGTGATAAGCTATAAAATAGATAAGTCTCATTTCTATGGAATGTTGTGAATAGTACTTGGGATTCAAGTGTCTAAGAAAGGCATTCTATCTCAAGAGCTATTAAAGTACTTAATGTTTAGTACATTGTTAGTGAATCACACTGGAAAAATCAAGTGTCTATCGAAAATCGCATTTAGAGAGGGGTCCTTTTTGTCAAAACTTAAACGATTTTCGCAAGCATTAGCATCTTGAATATGGTTTGATCTCCAGATAATACTTTTAGTCGAAATGGGCATTATGACCATAAAATTTAAAAGCTTGGCTACTTAATGGAAATAATTGCAGTCTTATCGAAATTCAAATTACATATGCCATTTACAAGCCACATAACATTTGGAAAGATGCATTAGCCAAATGCAAAAGCAAATGCAATACATTAACAACAGAAACAACAAACACCACCAACAACAACAACAACAACAATAATAATAATAATAATAACAGCAGCAGCAGCATTCACAGTTAAAGTACAGCAACTAGCACTTAGCCGCACTTGTTCAAAAGCCACAAATCTTTTATGACATTTGTTTCAAATGCGATAATAACACTTAAGTTGCTAAATTGTTGGCTTAAACGCAAATTAAAGACAACTTTTCACCAGATAGTCGCTATAGAATGGGGGAAGCGATCGGAGAGGGGCAGTGCACAGGGTGGGGGGCAGTAGGCAGGTGTTTTACCTGCTATAATTTATACTTAGCCAAACGCCAAATCAAATTGGTAAGCATTTGACATTTATACGGCGAGCTGAGGAAAATGCCATGAAAAATTCAGTGGGCTCACGAAGAGTGAAGGGGGGCAGGCAGCCAGAGATGATTTATGCACTCATTGTATAGCATGGCATAGGATAGGATAGGTAGACCAGGTAAACTCGCATTTGGCGGCTGCTCATGGAAAATTGTTGCCAGTTATCACGAATGTTGTGAATTGCAGTTGAAGTTGCCTTTTCAGATTTCGCTTAGGCTTTCGGTTTTCCCAGGCGCATATTTTGTCACAAGACGCTGGCATTATTTATGCGACTAGCAAAGGAACTCGCAGCTAGCTAACAATTTGCAAATGCCGCTGCCGCTGTCGCTGCCGCTGCCGCAACATGCAACCACAACAGCAACCACTACTTGGCCCCATGTGGCAAGGCATGAGGCAGTCAAATGATTTACTTTGAAAATTCAATAATTGCGCTTCATTAAATTACGGGCAGTCGTCGTATTTGTTTAGAGTGCTCTTGCTATCAGCGTTAACGGTGAATTGTAAACAACTTTAAAAGCAATTTGGCATAAACGTCACTGGGCCCCCATGAGGGGCGTAACACAGGCGTTTGGCCCACAATTTTCCACGCCACTTGAGCGTAATTAGCCGTTGAGCTTTTAAGCGCCATGTAAATAGCACAAGTATCACTCCCTCTATATACCCCATTCTCTTGGGTTTTGTCTATATGACGCTCCGATCTCGAGTCGGTGCAAGTGTCTTCGGTCTATATATATAACAGTTTACGCAAAGCATCGATGCTATTTTGATAACTGTAAATATTTGCAATTTGCCATTATTTGCTAAACTTAGCTTTGTATCTTCTGCTTTATGTGTGCTTAGTAATTTGTGTTTTGTATTTTTTGCTTAACAAAAAAAGAAAAAAATAAGAAAAAACACAAAACACAAAACCGCTGTGCTCATTGGACTTCAGGTGATGCTCTCTAGCTAACTACAAAGACAAATAGTCACAAAACACCCCTAAAAAAACAATATAGCTCATAATTCTCGGCATTTTCCATGCGCACCATAAGAAAAAAGGAAAAGAAGAGGTTTATAAAAGCCACAGACAAACAAGTTGATCGAATTTCTAATGGCCATTGATAAAGTTCATTTGCCTGCAAGAGTTGGCTGTAAAAAAGAGTAAACGATACCAGTATTCGATTGAAGGACTCCATTCACTTGAACCAACAAAAGGCAACGACAATTGACTCCTATTCAGCTGCAGCTACTGGTCAAGTTAGTTAGCTTATTTACAGCATGTGCCTGTCAGACAGAGATCAGACTCGAATGCTGTAATTACATACATGGATGTGTGTTTACTATCCATATACATCAATAGCAACAACAACAAGTAATAACAGCGACATATAACAACTGGCTGTCAACTTGGCTAATTGAAACAAGACACATGCTGAGCGACGGACAGAAAGTGCTCAACGGAAAGTGAGGGGCATTAAGAGTGTTAAGAGCCTAGTATTTGTTTGGAGGCGTGGCAACCATTTTACTATTGTTCCAATCACACAAAACGTCGCTCGCTGATTATAATTGATGTATATTTTTTAATTATCTCCTGCTTGTAAGCACATTTGAGTATAATTACATATATAGATGATATATTAAAATTAAAGCAAAATTGCTTTCGGTTTATTTTTGAATTGAAAAAATAGTTGTTCAAGAAATTATAAATAGACTTCAAAGTTGACAAACCGTTCAATTAGCGAGCCATAACTTTAACAAGTCACCCACAGAGCGTATACGATATATGTCTTCTACAGTTCGACGGTCACTGACTCTCGAACTGTTTGTTTTGCATGTGGTGCTTCACATTTATTGCTGTTTTGGGCGCTTGATTTTTTTACTTTCGCTGAACTCATATAAATTTTGCTTTTGCTTTCTGAAGCTGCGAATCTGCCTTAATTGATCGCCTAATTAAAAGGCATTGAATTACACTCGACCCCAACATTGGCCATGGCAATTAAATCGAACAAGCGACGCATTTTCTGGCTTGTCGTGTTGTTTCTTCTTCTTCGGTTCGTGCCATTGTCGATGCAATGTCGCTGATTATTTCGGAAATGCCAATCAGATGAAAGGCCCACAGAACCTCGTACACACAGCATGCTGAATCGCAATCGCAATTCGTAACTCGCACCGTTCACCCCTCCCCTGCCCCTACCATAACCGCACCTCCCGTATCCTCCGTTCCAATTGCCGTCATCTGCGTTGATTACATTTTGCAGCAGAGAGTGAGTCAGCAATCCCAGCAAATCTCGATCAACTTCTGAGCTTCGCTGCAAATGCTAAATCTGAATACGATCAGAGTACAAGTTTGGCCAATTACTTGTGTTGTTGCCTGCTTAGGCAACAGGGAATAGTTTTGGCAACAATTGGTTTATTTACACGGTTGTTACAGAAGTGTTTAATTCTAGTAAATTTAAAACAATTATCTTCACTTAGTAACTAATGCTATAAAATACACTGAGATATAATATATAATATTAATATTTATAGTCCACTTTTATCAGTTGCTGTTTGATGTAAGCTGATCTTTCAGATGGTAACATCTACGTCCTTTATTATTGTTGCATGCAGTAGAGCTGATTGCAATAACGGTATGTGGTATTATCACTTCGCACAATAGTAATGCCAGCTCCATAGTAAGCTAGAAAATATTATAAAATAATATTGAAGAGGCGAAATATTTTTGCATAATTCTCATGTCTTAAGATCTTATTCGTTTAAAACCATTGCCATATCAATGCTGATAAGGAATATACTATATACGTATAATATAATGAAGGGATTGTTATAGATAGTTAAACTACATAATATATACATACGTATAATATAGGCCGATCCATCCGCTGGTCCCACAACCTGCATTGCGATCAGCACAATGTCAACTAATTGGCCCAGAAACATTCCACCCAGCGTGCAGAATTTTAGTAAACCAATGCCCGGATAGCCCAAGTAAAAGCGATCCGCGCCAAACATGCCAAGGAATACAGATAGCATTAGCGTGGTGTCCAAATGATATCCATTGCTGCAAATGAATATTAAGTTAAAATCAATCAAAAGTCATTAAATCTTTTTGCAACGTTGAAATCCCACTTGTTACTTACGTCCATTTGCAGGTGGTTTGACGCGTGAACGTTGAGTTACCCGTCTCGGTGCAGTTGATATCGTGGGCAGCTATGCACCATACGGGCGCTCGATTCTCTTTGGTGCAGCCGCGCAGTTGCTGGGTTTCGGGATCAATGTGATGCTTGGCGGGATCGGGGCACATATATTGACCCATCAGCAGCTCGTTGCAATCCACAGTGACGGGCTGCGTCTTGGCCGTGCAGAAGAGCAGCAGCACAGACACAATGTACCAGTACATTATGCAATTGTTTAATTGTCTATGTTTTAATTAAGCGTTTGCATTTAAGCTTTAAATTCCGCAATAAAATGCACTTTTGTTTTGTTTGTGTCCGGCATTCTTCTTCTTCTTGATGTTGCTTTTGTGGTGGCATGTCGATAAAAAAAAGTGTTGTAAAATGACAGTTGTGGACAACAACTGCCTACAGATGGCGCTAACAGAAGCAGCAAGAAATATATTTTAAACGTTTGTCTTGAATTATTAGCAATTAATAATGAAAATGTATTATTGAAAGAGTCCGGCTTGTTTATTGAAAATATACTTCTTGCAATTCAGCAGCACTCGCACCTCCTTCGCTCGCTCCGACTTAAGCTGCTCGAGCGTCTCCTGCCTCAATCCATCCCTGAACAGGATGCATACCTTGGAAGATTGCCCGAAAGTGCGTTCGATGTGACCCGTTTCTCCAGTGGAGAGCTGCACCCGTTTGCCCACGTAGATGTCACGATTCGCCTCCTTCTTAAAGAGATTCTGGACAATGATCTCGTTGGGATTAACCACACGCTGCACATTGCTCTCCTTATGTTTGTGCTTAAAGATGCGCAACTGTGGCAATAGCTCCCGCTTGTAGTTAATGCAGTGCGTCTGCCACAGGATGCGACCCCAGAAGGCCAAGCGGCAACTGCTGCTGTGCACATCCATGTCCAGCTTGGAGGCAATCAGTGTGCTGCCCAAAGTGCTCAGCACAGGCGATTCAAATTGCAGCAGGGCAAAAATGCAATCCGCACCGGAATCCATTGCCTGCTGAGGCAACAACTCTTCCACGTGCTCATATTCCCTGCTCAAATCAAAGCTGGACAGTTGAGTTGCCTCATCTCTGAACAGGTGGAGATTCGCCATGACTGTGTCGTGTCCAACGCTGATGTGCAGCTTACTTCTCGAGCGGATTGGGTGCTTAAAATAACGAATCGGCTGCAGCTGGACACACACGGCATGGACGGGCTTCAGGTAATCCGGCTGGGCTATAATGCCGCGTTCCATCAGCTTCGCATTGAACTGCGTCACACACAATCCAATGCGATCGCCTGCGCTGGCTTCATCCACCGGCTGCCTGAATCTCTGTATGGATTTCACTTTGCGTCGTTCACCCAGCATGGGCAGTTCCACGGTGTCATTGATGGCCACAGTGCCCTGGAGCACAGTGCCAGTGCAGACAGTGCCCTGACCCTTGATGGCAAAACAGTGATCCACATAGATGAGCAGTGGTGCTGCTCCTGCTGCTGGGCTTAATTGCCGCTGTGATGCTTCGCAAGCTGCGCCCAACGCCAGACGCAGTTGCTCAATATTGGTGCCTACCAATGCGGACACAGTGTAAATGGGCACCTCCTTGCCGAACTTGGTGCTCGCCAGTGTTTTTCTCAATCTGGCGCGTAGCTTCTCCAGCTGCGATTCCCGCTGCTCCGCGGGCAGCGCATCCAACTTGTTGATCACCACCAGGAGCTGCTTGTCGAGCAGCTCGCCAATCAGTAAACATTCCGCTGTCTGAGTCTGGATGCCTTTCTGGGCATCCACAACGAGCAGCATTAAATCAATTATTTGCGCACCTGTTGCAAATAGTATTTTCTAATTAAATAAATTATTTTTTAATGAATACTCACCTCCGATGATGGTTCTTATGAGGCTGGCATGGCCAGGACAATCCACAAAGGTGATTTGCAGTTGTTGTTGCTGTTGTTCTTTTTGTGGTTTCTCCCATAGAAATGCACTGAAACCCAGGTCAAGTGTTATTCCTCTTTCTACTGATTGCGGATTCTTGTCGAAGGCCGCCGTGCTCGAAATGGAGCTGAGGGCGCGCGCCAATGTTGTTTTGCCGCAATCAACGTGCCCCAGTAAGCCGACATTGAAATTTGTTGTTTTCATGGCGCTGTTAACATATTTGTATTTTATTTATTTATTTATGAAACCGACCCACACACGTTGCGACTGCTTGACTGTTGCCGGCAGTTACAGTTACAGCTGAATTTGCACTGCTTTGTCGATTCGTGTATGGGCCAGCGAGCAAGTATCGATGCTTGCGAGAAATGAAGGCCAGATGGCGAAATCAAGTATGACGCCAAGCTAAAATGCTCATTATATTATAAGAACGTACACATTAGATAGTGTCAACTAAAAAATACACCAAATTGTCGTTGCGCTGTTTGCATACACACACGTTATGACTGTTTTACAGTTGTCGGCATACAACTGACTTAGCACTGCTTCGTTGCCAAGCAGTCGAGGCGTGTGTGGGCCGGCTGGCAAGTATCGATACTTGCACTCAAGATCGATTCAAGAAATCTACGACAGATGGCGTGTGCAACAACAGCATTTAATTTATATTCGTTTTTATTATGATTTATGTATGTTAGTACAAATTAATATTTATTAATTAAATAGAACCAAAGTTGTCTGTCTAATAGGGTTAATAAAATAAATGCTTGTCATTAAATACAAATATACAATGAAAAGCATACTTTTATGCGGTTACACCAAATACATTTTGTAAAGCATACTTTTAGGTCGATCAAAAAGCCATGGACAGTTCCTCAAAAACTAGCTCTAACTCGGCAAAATCTTTACAGAAGGTGTATCAAGTACTATGGTCTCATCTAAAAACCCAAACAAAAGAATTTTAGGCTGATTTTTGAAATAAACATTTTAACAAATCGTATAAATTATAGCATATAGTAACAATTGAATTGTTATAACAATTATACAGTCACATTAACGATACACTCGATAAATTAATTAACAAATTCGGCTTGTCCAATTTAAACGCTATACGATTCCTTCAGGTTCTTGAAATATTCCAAATCACTTTGGCTAATTGAAGGCACAAATTTGTTGAAGGACGTCGCAAAATCCTCGGACTCAACGATGATGTGGGCAGCAGTCAGCTCATTTGCGGCCAGGCCGCAACTCAAATGCTTGTTAATGATGCGACGTACTGCAGATAGCCAGGCATTGGAGCAGATGGAGTACAAATCTGCACCACTCATCTCGCTTCGGAGGTGCTCAGCGATCTGCACGAGATCCACGTCACCGGACAGGATAAAGCGTTGCGTCTGCGCACGGAGCACCGCTGCCTTGTCATCGGCCGTCGAGCACGGACCCACATAGAAGAGCTTATCGAAGCGTCCAGGTCGCAGGAGTGCCGGATCAATTAGATCCGGACGATTTGTGGCAGCCAGTATAAAAATGGGCTTGCTCACATCCCCATTGCACATGCCGTCCATCTCGGCAAGCAGCTGGGAGACCACACGATCCATGACACCGCCTGAATCGCCAGCAACGCCACGATTCGGTGCCAGCGAGTCCAACTCATCCAGGAAGAGTACACAGGGCGCCGCCGAGCGAGCACGGGTGAATACCTCCCGGACATTCTGCTCGCTTTGGCCAACATACATGTTCAGCAGCTCGGGTCCCTGCACGGAGAGGAAGCTCAGATTACATTCGGTGGCAACTGCCTTGGCGACCAGGGTCTTTCCGGTGCCAGGTGGTCCATAAAGCAGAATGCCTGATCTCCGCAAGTTTTTGCCCATTAAATGGACATGCTTTAGCGGCAAACCAATGCTGCTCTGAATTTCATCCTTAAGCTTGTAGAGACCACCGATATCGGACCAGTACACCTTGGGCACCTTGGGTGCACCCAAACTGTCGGCAAAGGAGCTCTGCATCTCGTTCAGATTTGTGGCAAAGTGTTCTAGCGTGAGATGCGATTGTGCCCGGGTCGATTGGCGTCGCTTGAGTCGCACGGCATTGTCATAGAGCAGCTGCAGATCACCCAACATAAATCCCTGGGATTTAGCCGCGACTTCATGAAGCACACTCCTCGTCTCCTTCCACTTGGGACAGAGTCGATTAAGGTAACGGGATTGCATTTGCAGTGGAAACAGTGGCAACTGAGTCAATGTCTTTTGGTTGTAAATCGCATCGTTGAATGATTCCCGGACATGCATCCATTGGAGTAGCTCGAAGCGTTCCGCTTGATTGGGCGCCTCAATGCTGATGATCTCCAGGAAGAGACTCTGAATCATGGGCTTCAAGTGCTTGTCACTGGTGAGCGCAACAACTACGACGGGAAACTTGCGATCGCGTGTGAACAGATCCTGAATCTGCACATGAAAGGCGGACAGCAAACGCAGATCCTCGTTGCCCTCGTTATCAATACCGAATATCTGTCTCGAGAAATGAGATAAATATTTATGATGTGTTATATATTATATATTCCAGCTCACCTCAAAGTTGTGGAAACAAATTAGAAGCGGTTCGCTTATCTGACTCTTGGCAAACACCGCCTTCAATTTCATCTCCGTATGCGAGGGAACTTGGGACACAATTTCCGCACAATCAGCTCCATAGATATGCATGCCCAGCTCCTGGGCCATTGCACTGATGAGCTTTGTTTTGCCAGCGCCTCGTTCGCCCTGCAGCAGAAACACGGGAAAGATGTGCTTGGACGACAAGCAGGCCGATCTCTTTGGCAGAAATGCATCCACCGAGGAGCGCAACTTTTGATAGGGTTTCCGCAGACCACTCGGATAATTATTAGCAATTGCGCAGCTATCGAGAATCTGGCGTGGCAGAAAGCTTTGCACATGTGGCACCTGCAGCAGATTGCTAAAGTTCTTGGCCACCACAGCCTGCAGCTCAAACTCGCTGCCTTTAGCCTCCAGCTGCACACAGCGGAAGTAGACCTCCCTCAAATACGCGAAGATTAGATAATAATGGGCATAGGCAGCGGTGCCCACCAGCTGAGCGTTCACCTCAATGCGATAGATGTGGCCACGGTGCAGCATTCGCGGCGTATTGAAGTAGTTGCTCAAGATCAGTTCCGACAACTCGGCGGGCAACTCATGCGGATTATTGAGCAGATAAACGTGCGCTTTTGTCGCTATTGTTGGTATCGTTTGCTCATCGCTGAAGTGCTCCAGCTGTACCCAAAAGTTGTTCGTCTTATTGCCACTATTGCCAAAACGTTCCATGAGATTGCCATAAAGGTTTTCCTAAAAGAAGAAACAATTTCATTCGATTTACATTTATAGATATATTTCTGTATAACACATACCATTATATAGAGGCAGTTGCTCTGGCATTGTGAGCTCTCCACCGGCAACAGTTGTGCCACAATCGTATACGGCGTATCCTGCAAGATTTGCTTGATGACCAACTCGGATGCATCCCAAGATCTATCGGGATTACTAGAAGTAGTAGTAGTAGTTGAACCAGCTTTACCACCGCCACGCACCACCAAATTGACAAAGTTCACATCGTCCGATTCGGCGTAGATGTTGTAGACATCCGTGCTGGCGAAGATTACGTGCTCGGATTTGATCAGTTCGTTGCTGGTCAGCAGTTCGTAGAGGCGATTCGGCATGGGCGTCAACAGAAACTTGCCCCTGTAGTATTTGGCATAGCGCCAGTAGACCGCGTATATTAAATATCCGGGGTAGAAGAACCACGGCCACCTCGGCTGCAGCAATTGTACGGCAGAATTATACGCCTCAACCAATTCCTGCATGCGTCCTGTGAAACTATATCTCGTCTCCCCATCATTGGCATCAATTGATTTGGCCGCCTTAATGGCAACTTTTTTCTGTGAAGGTCAAGAATTCACATACATACAAATATATATATATATACAAATATAGATGAGTACTTCAACCTACCACAACATTATTATCAACATTATCACTCATTTTGAGACGGAGAGAGATAAAATACAAAGGTTACTTTTTGGACAGGCAAAGTCTAATTACTAGGGATTGTTGGTGCACAGGTAAAACATATACGCAACTTATTCTGGAACAAAAGCACTATGTTAAAATACTAAATTGAGTTGTTAAGTCCAAAACTTATTTATATTTTGATTTCAAATCCAATTTGATTACGTACCTTTTTCACAATGACTCTTTTCTTCATGACTTGTTGGCTCATTGGTGCTTCAAATTAGTTTAACAGCTAAAAAGAGCACGTCAAAATGATTAACCTGAAGTTTTAGCTATGATATGTTTTACGAACGAGTTAATTCCTTTTAAATTCGGATTATGTATGAGATATAAATATGCCTCGCTCGTTTCAACAAGTTATGTAGTGTTGAATAACGACAATTTGTGAGTGAGTATTTTATGCAGATGTAAAAAATACCAGATTAAAAATACTGTATTATGCTGCTAAAAAATAAATATAATGTGAAATCAAATTAAAACTACAATTCCGCATTGTATTAATGTGAAAAATATAACAATGCTTTTATAATAATATGTATACTTGTATATCAGTACGACGAGCTGTTTGTAATATGCCGGTTAAAAGTGCATCGATAATGTAATATCGTCCCTGCCCAAAAATATCGATATCGATATTACCAAAACAAACACAAAGTACAAGAATAATATTTTCATTTGTTTAATTTTGAGGATGGAAATAACCAATATAAATGGAGGCAATGACACTGAGACTCCATCGCAGACGCCCGACAAGCGGGAACTACTCTGCCTTCTCAAGCTGATAAGGAAATACCAGTTGAAGGGCACCGAGGAGCTGCTCTGTCAGGAGGCAAATGTGAGCAGCGCTGATCTCGCTGGCATCTGCGAGGAGGATGTAAAACTATTGCTAAGCGATGCATTGGCTCAGGCCAGTGAGGCGGATGAGCAGCTGAACAAGAAACCGATAGCGGCGCAGTCAGCCAAGTCGCTTGCTGTAACTGAAGCGAATACAGCCGAGGCGCTGGCAAAGTTCATTGGGGACGACGCTTTCGATGCCCAGCAGTATGAGCAGGCATACGATGAGTTGCGAACGTTTGTCGAGGAATCCCTGGACATTTACAAACACGAATTGTCCATGGTACTGTATCCGATCCTGGTGCAGATCTATTTCAAGATCATAGCCAGTGGACAGATTGAAAAAGCGCGCGGTTTCATTGAGAAATATAAATCGAATCTGGATGGCTACTATATCGAGGGTCTGTTCAATCTGTTGTTGATTTCCAAGCCCGAGGAGCTGCTGGATAATGATCTGGTGACTGCGATGGAGACGGATAAGTTTGTCATACGCATGTCCCGCGATGCTCACTCCCTGTTCAAGCGCCACATACAGGATCGGAGGCAGGAGGTCGTCGCAGATATTGTGTCCAAGTATCTGCACTTTGACACCTACGAGGGCATGGCGCGCAACAAGTTGCAGTGCGTCGCAACGGCCGGGTCGCATATCGGTGATGCGAAGCGACAGGATAATAAGGTGCGGGTCTATTATGGCCTGCTCAAGGAGGTGGACTTTCAGACGCTGACGACGCCAGCGCCGGCACCCGAAGAAGAGGACGATGATCCCGACGCACCCGATAGACCTAAGAAAAAAAAACCGAAAAAAGATCCGTTGCTTTCGAAGAAATCAAAATCGGATCCCAATGCACCTGCAATAGATCGCATCCCGCTGCCCGAGCTGAAGGATGCGGACAAGCTGCTCAAGCTGAAGGCGCTGCGTGAGGCGAGCAAGCGACTACCGCTCAACAAGGATCAGCTGCCGTCGGCCGTCTTCTACACCGTGCTCAATTCGATGCAGGGCGTCACCTGTGCCGAGATCTCTGACGATTCCACGATGCTCGCCTGCGGCTTTAGTGATTCGACGGTGCGCATCTGGTCGCTGACGCCGGCCAAGTTGCGTGCGTTGAAAGAGGCGGATGCACTGCGTGAACTGGACAAGGAGTCGGCCGACATCAACGCTCGCATGCTGGACGAGCGCAGTGGCGAGATGACGCGCACCTTTATGGGTCACACTGGGCCCGTCTATCGTTGCGCCTTTGCGCCCGAAATGAATCTGTTGCTCTCGTGCTCTGAGGATAGCACCATCCGCCTTTGGTCACTGCTCACCTGGTCCTGTGTGGTCACCTATCGTGGCCATGTCTTTCCCATCTGGGATGTGAGATTTGCTCCGCATGGCTACTATTTCGTCTCCTGTTCGTATGACAAAACGGCCCGTTTGTGGTCCACGGATTCGAATCAGTCGATTCGCGTCTTTGTGGGTCATCTGTCGGATGTGGATTGTGTGCAGTTCCATCCCAATTCCAATTACATTGCCACCGGCTCCAGCGATCGCACTGTGCGTCTCTGGGATGCACTCAACGGTCAATCCGTGCGTCTCATGACAGGACATAAGGGCACCGTCAATACTCTGGCGTTCTCCACCTGTGGTCGTTACTTGGCCTCCGGTTCCGTGGATCACAACATCATTGTGTGGGATCTGTCGAATGGATCGCTGGTCACAACACTGCTGCGGCACACGAGCACTGTCACCACGATTACCTTCAGCCGGGATGGAACTCTGCTTGCCGCAGCTGGGCTGGACAACAATCTGACGCTGTGGGACTTCCATCGGCTCACCGAAGATTATCTCCGCAATCACATCACGGTGTCGCATCACCAGGACGAGAACGATGAGGACGTATACCTGCTGCGCACATTCCCCAGCAAGAACTCACCTTTTGTGGCGCTTCATTTCACCCGGCGCAATCTTCTCATGTGCGTCGGACTCTTCAAGAGCTAAGCGAGATCATTTGGAATCTAAATATATATATACATATAACTTTGTTAAGCTAAGCGGGACACAATTCGGGAATCAATTTGTAGTTACTTTTATGGTCTAAGTGTGTTCTTGTGTCGTCTTTAATTGTTTCTAAAACTATAATTTGTCATTCAGCATTCGTTTCGAGATTTCTGGCATCCGATTTACGATCTAAGTTAATATTAGTCATAAGCTCTAAAATGCAAATATATTTTGGGTAAAAGCACCAAACAGATAATATATATAAATAAATATAGTTATTTATATTGTCTGCATGGTGGTAAAAGTAACTTTCAACTACAAATTTAATTTAAGCCAACAAATACATGAAACATTTTTGTGGATTAGAATAAAGACGAAAAAAAAAGAGTTTAGATTATATTTATAACTTTAAAGTGAACTCATACTGAATTCTTGCTTGCAAATAATTAAATTCTCTGTGGTTAATCATTTTCATTCCCAAAAATTGAAATTGATTTAAGAAAGTTTTCGAAAATTCACAATTGGAACTTTTAATGTTTCCCCTGCTCAGCCGATTCAACAACAGATTAATCTATGACATCTTAATTTAAATATATGCATATACATTTAATATGTATATACACAAGTGTATATTTTAGATCGTTTATCAAAGTCAAATACAAAATTCTCTAACAGATATAGGTAGACCTGGATCCCCTCCCTACTCGTCATCGGGAATGCCAAAGGTGCGACGCACTGCCTCAAAATTCTTAATGTTGAAGACGGCGCAGCGTGGCGGTTTCTCGCCGCCAAAAGCCAGCGTGTAGGGATCCTCGGGACACTGTCGCATGCACTGGAGCCGGCCCATGTTGAAGTCGTGCTCGTAGACATGCTTTGGTTCCGTGCTGTTAAAGTTCCAGATCTTGAGGGAGCCCTCGGTGGAGGTGGATGTCAGCAGATTGGGCATTTGACTATTGAAACAGACGCCGGAGATCTCCTCGTTGTGCGCCTTGACGGACCACAGCAGCTGGTTTGAACGACGCTTGTCCGCATAGTGCAGACTGCCATCGTTGGTGCCAATGATGAAGTAGTTCGTCTGCGTGGGATGCCACAAAACCTTCTCCACCTCGTTGCCGCTCAGCTGCCATTTGAGTTCGTTGCCCGAGTTTACATTGTCTGCGTCGCGGCAATCGAAGAGACGCACATAGCCATCGGCACAGCCGGTGAGGATGCTTTGCGCCTCCTCCGGATGGAATTCGACGGATTGCACCTTTTCCTCAAAGGAGGTGATACTCGTATGCGGCTGTCCCTCGTCCAAGTCCCAAAGGATGAGTGTTTGATCCACCGAACCACTCGCTAGAATATGCTCGAATTGTGGATTCCATGACAAGTCGAGGACGGCATCCTTGTGGCCATACTGTTCCTTGTGCTTCTTGCGATTGCCCTTGGAGCCCAGCTTGAACGTTGGCTCCATGGAGTCTTGTATGTCCAGATCCCAAATGGTAATGATCGGATCCATGCAGCCAATGGCACACATATTCCCAGCCTTATCGCTGCCCGCATCATGATTCATCCACTCAATGCACAGCGGAAAACTGGGCAACAAGAAGTCGTGGTGTGTGTAAAGTGCCTGCTCCTCCTGATTGAAAACCCACACTTCCATGCTCGCCGCATCGTCCTGCACATGACCGACCAACACCAGGTTATCTGTGGGCTTGATAATCTCATCCTCCGCCTCGGAATCCTCATCCTCATCGGGCACCTGTTCGTCGGCATCGACAACATTTGCCAGATTTGTCACCGTCGAATTTGCTTCGTTTTCGTAATTCTGAAAATTGAACTCATCGTCGAGATTCGCATTCTCATTTACAGCAGCACCACCAGCAGCAGCAGCCATTGCTTCATCACGATCCACATCCATGTCCTCATCTTCATCATCGTCATCCTCGTCATCATCTTCATTTGCATTCAACTCGTTTTGTGTCTCGCCAATAATCCGAGCAAGTTCTCCTTGTGTCAGAACTATTTTCTCGGGTCGCTCCTTTGTGACACCGCGAGGCACAAAGCACAGCGCTGGCACAAAGTCTATGCTTGGCTCTGGTGGACCGTCTCCCACTTCCGTCATTGTTTTATTATTCAAATTACAAATTAAAACGAGTGCTCAGTTGAAATAGTTAGTCAACACGTGCACGATTTGTTGAATCTTCAAATGGTACTAATTGACACCACAGTCACCCAGCTGGTCACACCAAATCAAAGAGAGTGGGGCCAAATAACACCAAAAACTCGTTAGTTATCAATATTTAAAAGAGAAGCGCAATTATGATTAACATTTACAGCAAACTAAATAAAGTCTAATAGCAGTTGAGCTCACCAAAATAAGAATAAAGATGCCATCATATAGACTTCATTATCTTTATTATAACTTGGCAGTGCAGAAATTGATAGGAAAAGTATATATATATATATATATATACATTTTTTTCATATTTTTGTTAGCAACTTTATTACCATTTCATGATTATAAACGTACATTAAGTTCCGCGATAAGTGGTGTATCCATAGGGACTGAGTAAAAGTGGAACATGATAATTTTGATTTTCACTGCAATCGACAATTAGTTCAACGGCTGGATAAAAAGTTTTTATATTTTGCTCTGCAAAATAGGCGCCAACATGGAATGTCAACTTATAGATTCCGCTGGAAAATTCCGCTGGATCCAGTAATTGACAGCGACCATCTGAGTCCGTCTGCGTTGGTCGAATAGCCTTCCATTCCTGGAGTTCATCCAGGCGAGATGTGGTCACTTTTATGTAGGCTGCTGCTTTTCCCGTAGAGGTGTTTAGCACATGACTGGAAAATTTACGTGTACTCATTGCGATGGCCAGCGAATCAAAAATAATCTGATGATCTTCCCACCAGATAGCTTAACTACAATCATGTCTTGTTTACATATTATATTGCATTCTAGATAAAAACTGATAAGCTTATGTTAACTAACAGAACAAATAATGTAAGCGCAAATTTCAATCGTTAAATGATCGCTTATCGATAGTCAACAACCTTAACAGTTGCTGTAAGCCAACAGCTCAAGCTACAGCGCTTTGCTCTGTTAATTGCCTTACTGGTGCAGTATTTTCTGTTTGTTGTTATTGTAAAATTTGATTTCGAAGCGGTCGGTTCGGTTGTGCTGCGTCGGAACAAGTCCGTGTATCGCGTCTTTGAAGAATTAAATTCAAAGTCCGAGAACGTTGCAGCTTAAAAGTTTAAAGTATATATTGCAATAATAGTATTGTTCGTTAAGAAATTGAGAATTGAGAAATTGACAAAACGCTTAACGACTATTCGGCTTATTGTTGTTGTTCAAGTCATCATTTGTGCATGCCGGTAATAAAAAGTAATTAAAAATTGCTGAAATTAATATACGATACGTTTATCGTACACTATACACGGGTAAACTGATCAATTTGTTTATTTGATCATCTGTTTTTATATGTTTGTGGTTTGATTTTTTGCTCCCCAGTGTTTCCAGTGTACCCAGAAGCAACAGTTGTTTCTTGTCTGCGGAAACAGTGTGATAAAAGAATGCAAATTCAAATATAAATCGCGCTTCGTTAAATATGTAATAATATATATAGATATATTGATATATATAGATATATGCAATAGGAGAGAGAATAGAATTGCAACTTATTGGAAAGTACAAACTTCACTGCTTGTGCCATGTAAACTCGATTGTTTGTACATAGATACATGTGGACGTATGTGTGCTATGTGTGTATGTGTGTGCGTCTGAATTGCCTTTGAGCAGAAGAAGCATCGAAGTTACCAACTTCAATCCCCAACAAATCTTAAACCAGTTTTAAGATACATATTCTTGTTGTGTGTGTGGTTGTTGTTTGTTGTTGTTGTTGCTTTTCGCATTATTTTCGTTTTGTGTGTTTGGACGGTTTTGCTGCCTCTGCAACTTTGGCTGTAGATACATATGTATCTACGTATGTATGCATGTATCTATGTATTTGTACAAACATAAGACGAATACCCTTTGCTTGTATTTCTCTCTCTCTCTCTCTCTGTCTTACTCGGCTTTAACTAATCGCGTGTTGATTTTTTTTGTAACTCCCATTGTTGTTTTTGTAATCGGCAACAAGTACTGCACGCAGCTCGGCAGCTTGGCAGCTTTTTGTCTTTCATCGCCTCCTACGCGAAACGCGAGACATTAGGCCAACAATAATAAACAAGCCCAATTGCTAACCAGATCAGTAAGAAACAAGAAAATACACACAGGTTATATTACAATTGGACCAATTTGAGATTTATTTTCCAACAATTTCAACGGGAATTACAAATACGCTTAAGGTGAGTAAAAACTCAAAAATTTCAAATAGATATTTAACAAATCTTTTGAGACAGAAAAAGATTTGAAAAAATGTTAAATATGGATTTAATCATTAAGATAACAAAGAATGTTCATTAAACGATAAAAGAAAGACTAATGAACACTAAAAATTAATTAAATTCAGCTCTTCTTGAAATTTTGTCATTAAAATAAATGCATTTCTTAAATGAACACGATCAAAATTACCATACAAAATTTACACATCCATTTTAATAATTCAATTTCAAGAAACTTTTGCTTTCATATTTGAATATGCAAGCGATTGTAATTTATTTATGTGTCTAAACCGAAAAATAACAAATTTAAAAAGAACCGTTGTCTCTGGCGATGATTTCTTTGTCTCCATTAAAATATGTGCATACTTAATTGCTTTTTCTTTATTTTTTTAAGCTGTTTGCCCTTTGCGAAGCATAAAACTAACTCGTAACAAAATAATGCCGCCAATAGAAAATGATTTCCCTAATTGAAAACCAATTTAAGAGGAGAGAGTGTTTTTCTTTCGTATTTCTATACGGAGAGCTACGTAATGACTCCATCGATTACAACATCAACGAAATTTTGGTCAATTTTGTTTGGTTAATCTGTGATAAATGCAAAAAAAAAAACGATAAACGCAATCAGAAAGTGCTAACGGTCGATCACTCGATACGTTTAATTGATTGATACGAATCGAACGACAAGCCAAACACATTTCTGCCCCGCAGCCTAAAAAACAAAAACACAACGCGACACATTAACTGTATATATATAAACATAGATATATCTAAAAATTGGGGAATTTCATCGACCATTAATTTGCATGCGAACATTATTGGGGAATATTATTGGCAGCAGCGAAGACTTTGGCTACGCTTCACTTGAGCGATCATTAAAGGCTGCCTGGTAAATTAGAAACTAGTCGACTGTTATTGACAGCAAAAATCTTACACACACTCGCACAGGGACAGCAGAAGAAGATGAAAAACTTTACAGACGTCGCCGACAGCAATTCGAACCAAGAGAGAGAAGCGAGTAAAAAGTCAAATTCCAAGCTGGCATAGACTGGAAGCCAGCCAGTCGAACAGAAACAGAAACAGTAACACAAGCAGAAGGCAGACACAGAAACAGGAAATGAGACCCCATACGAGTCAAGTTTTTAAGTACCTTTCGTTCGCCTTGGTCAATGCAACGGCCGCGTACTTTTTGTCATTATTTCTATATGGGCTTTTTATACTCTAACCCTCCCAAGTGTATTTGGCTTTGGGACAATCACTGCAGAGGGGAAATGCATCTTTTTCTGCTCAGTAGTGCAATTTATATTCCAATGCATATGGATATCATAGTAGCAAAGATTGTAATCTTTATTTTTATTTATCATATATATTTCTCTTTGAGTTTAAGGTCTACTTTTGTGATATTATTTATATTTGTTACCACAATATTAGCTTTGTTTTATAAATTAATAAAACTGATTGTTTACAATTGTGTTAGCTGCCTATATTTATTTTTTTAATCTGATTTAAGTCTAATAGTCGGACGTATATATGTATGTATTAATCTATATATGCATACTTATAAGGGTTGCCATCTTTTCTAATAAAGCAGAAAAAGCTTTGGTATAATATTGCTCAGTACTTAAAGTGCCTATGACTCATAGACTTAATGCATTTTGAATTATCAGCAAAATTTTTAGATTGTTATTGTCTTGACGCACTCTCTGCCTGAACTTTTGGCCCAAAATTTAAATCTTTATCGCTTAATATAGGAAGCAGAATTGGCAACATGGGCACTACTACACATATACTTACGTAACCACACCGTGTTCAGGAAAAAAGCGTATGTTTTATTGTTTCTGCTGTTGCTTATGTATATTTATATTCCAGAACACTGACAGTTTTGCCCAGCAAGTTTTCTCTGTTGCCGGTTGTTGTCTGTTGTCTGGTATGTTTGCACAGATGACCCGCATTCTGAGCAAAACCGAACAGATTCCAGCTGTTATCCATGAGATATAATTGAATGGCACTAAAGAGGGTCCGATGTGCCACAGTGTTGTTTACATAAGGACATCCTGCTCGAATGCAAAAAAAAAATAATAATACAAAAAATAAAACACTTGATCACAATATGTCCTCGAGCATGGCCAGTTCCGTCGGAGAATTTGCTTTGTTCTATGCCTCCTCGTATTAAATGTCGATACACTTAGAGAAAATTTGGCCTATCAGAATTATGTGCGAGTAAACAAGAAGTTTAAATTGCTCGACTTTAGTCATTTTGTGCTTTTTAAATCTATCCAGTGATGTTTTGAGTACAAAATACTTTTCTGTGTGTATTACACCATGCGTTAGGGTTGTAATTCTTGTTTGACAGCGTTTCGTGTCCGCATCAAGCGCATTTCCATATGGACCAGTCACACCCATATACATATAAATATATGCATATAAGCAGTGCACATGCCGATACATACACTATATATATATATATAGATAGATACTTATGATTAAGTGTATCAACTAGATAGTTTTGCAATTTCCTAACACGTTGCTGATGTACAATATATACAAACATATATACTCAGGCTTGTGGCAAGAAAAAATACCATAGACATTGTGTAAAGTGCTATATGCCAAGTTTGGTGTAGATATTTATAAAAATTCTTCGACTGCATACAAATATAAATACCTATGTCTGGGTGTGTGTGTGTGTGTTTATGTTTGGCTGATGTTGCGGCAGGTAGCGTGACTAAGACATTCGCCATGCTGAACTGAGTTTTCAAATTTGATACAAATTTCAGTTTTTCTTTCACACAGTTGCTTTTCATTGCGCTTTTCTGCCAAATTACTGCTGCTGCTGCTGCTGTTGCTAACAAGTCAACCATCCAGTCCAATACTCTACTCACATTTAGATATATATATATATATATATATATATATATATGTGCTTGTGGCGCAAAATTCAAACACTGAATATAATTGGAAAGGCATTCGAGATGCATATATGTGCTCATTTAAGAGCTGTTGCTCTTGCTCAGCCTCAGGGTGGTAATGGAGCGATTGATGTACAACCACAAGCTCCAAATCGGAACCACTTATATACATAAAGCCCACTTTAGTCGCGCACTAAATCGCATTGGTAACGCAACCGTTAATCACAACTCATACAAATAAATGAAATTTTTTTATGTATGACGATGTTTTTTCCAAGTCTACACCGAATACTTCATAATTTTGATATACACTCATTCATATTCATCTTATTAGTTGTCTCTTAACTATTTAATTTAAAGAAGAAATAACTTCGTGTGTTAATAATAGATACTTAGCACAAATCGTGCTTCCAAAGTTAAACCAATAAATAAACCATAATCGAAAGCTGGTTTGTTTTGTAAATCGGTTAGGTTTTCTCTAAGGTATATAATTTAAACATGAATTTTTAACAAGGTTTGCTTTTCCAAATTTTGATGTAGCATTAATCTAGAGACCAAACCATCATCAAAAATGTATTGCTTTTGAAAATCGATAAATTTTTGATAAAGTAATGACAGAAAAATATGAAACTGTAGATATAGTCAGTTTTAACAAAGCTCTGAGAGATATATAGATTTTTTAAGACGGAATTTTAAACATTTATGTATTTCATTGAATAAACATATAAGAAACAATTATATGATTAAAAATGACATTAATATTTTTGATACTGATGATCATATTGACTTTAAACAAGTAACTGAAGTAGTAAATAAATAGGAGAGCATATTGATTGATATGTATAGCAATCTCACAATGTGATGGAGTTGCATGCAAGTAATTCAATTCAAATCAATTGCCACATTGACATACATACAAATTGTTTATACCCAAAGTAAGTATGAGTGTGTGTGTGTGTGTGAGTGTGTGTAAACATGCTTGTAGACCAATTGTCAGTATGTAGCCAAGTGCATAGAGCGATGACGAGAGCTATAAAAGACCTTCACGGTAGAAAACAAACACTAAGCCATTCAGTCAGCCAGCTAGCAGAAGACAAACGTCAGACGAGGCTGATGACGAGACGACAATAAAAGCGCAATAAAAGCGTGGTCGGCACAGAGTTAAGAGCTAGAGAGTGCTGTTGGTGGGGGGCAGGGCGTGGAGAGTGTAAATTGGTCGTGCTGTGCATGTTAAATAATAAAACAAAATAAAAAAAATTAACGAGAACGGTCGGCTTACAATATATGTAGGTAAAGACGTAAGTTGTAATTTAATTTGCAATTGACAGCCATACTCTAGAGACGAGCAAATGAAGAGCTGACAGGTGGGGCATTCACTCTCTCCCCTCCTATCCCCTACCCCATCGAGCCTAGCATACGAAATGAGCAGCGTACTTGCTGTCTTTCTCTGTCCTCCTTAACGGAGGTACACTTAAAAAGTCGAAAGTCCAATTACATTAGTTCTTGATTAAATCTTACATTCAGTTAATTGTTCACTCAATAAACAATATGTGATATAAAACTTAACTGTGTATATCAAGTCCCAAGCACAAAATCTTTATTTTTTTAGCTTTTTCTGCCCAAAACCAGTCGAATTGAGCTTGAAATATTCAAATAAGCATTCAATTTCTAATATCACAAGGGTGTACCCTATTTTACTTTCTGCTTTTCGTGCTTGAAACAAGTTGACTTAAGACAAATTTAATAATAATTCTAAGATTGTAGCTCAAGTTTATTGTACTTTCTTCAAGAAAATTCGAATTTAATTTCAAATATTACAAGGGCGTAGCGTACTTCTGCTTTTGGCAAGTCGAATTAGGCGTTAAAGATTTTCGTAAGACTTCTAAGATTGTAGCCTACGTTTTGCGTACTTTCTTCTTTCTAATATATTTTTTTGCTGAGTGTACTTGAATGTATGCACTTGTACCTTCAATTTCGTGTGCTTTCCTTTCCAGGTCTACCCGTAACAGTTATTTTTGTACGTTTTGCTTTTAGCTGTATAATTAAGAGATTTTTAACTAACGTTTGGCCCACAACTGACAAATGTAAACAAAATATCAGCAATTGTTTTTGTTTTCAATTTGACCCACATTTGTGTTTAAATATTTGGCTTTTGTTTCTTCCCCCTCCCGGTTTCAATTCAATTCGTTTTGAGCTAATACACCAAATTGCTGGCCACTGGCCAAGTGACGCTGATAATTGGGTCAAGACTTTTGTGGCGTTCCTCTGCCCAATGCCCAAACATTAGCCCGATAATCTTTGCCTCACCGCCTTAGAGACCAAGACCAAGACCCAGCCCCAGACCCACACCCAACTTAGACCCAAACTCAGACCCAAAAGCCAGACCCGGGCTCATCAGTGTTGGACTCTTGTGTCCGGCTCTTTGTCTGCTTAACACTCATTTTCATTGCGGATAATTTCACCTTTTATAGTTTGTACAAGATTTTAAAACGATGTAGCGCTAATGTTACCCATGTTTTTATTTTCGTGCTGTTTTGCCCTGTCTTTATGACTTTCTTTTAGATATTTTTGCTTTATTAGCGCTACTTTTTGGGACACTGCAATTATGCGCAGTTTTTTTTTTTTTTGTTTATTATATTTTATTTTTTTGCGCCAGCACTTTGATTATTCTGCAAGAAAATAAAGTCTGAAATATGAAAATGGGTTGTTAATACAGTTCCCCATTAAGTGTAAGAGTTGTACAGTTAAGAATATGTAATACCCATTCTAGTTATAGACAATGACAGCATCCGACCACACCCCACTGGGAGAATTTAGCTCGAATGTCAAAAGTCATTTGGCGGCTTTAACGCTTGGGTAACTTTCGAGAATTAATTGCGATCAGTGATTAAGCTGCCTTTTGTTTGTTGATTGATTATTGGCCGGCAACTGCTACGTAATTGTATAATTAAATAAATATATGTATATTTGCACATAAAGTGAATACGATGTCGGGCATTCGGTATTTGATTATCAGCATTCAATTCAGCGTCAGTCGAGCGTTTAGCTATTTGTGCAATGTGTTCGCCTTTTCAATTTTTGCTTGCTTTATTTTATTTTATTTTAGCGCTTTTTATAGCGTTCCATTTGCTTGAGCAAGTGCTGCGAATTCATTTGTGATCTTTTGTTAAGGGCCGCGCACATTATTATTATTTTTCTTAGTTGCTTGTTGTTGCTCTTATTGTCGTCCTTGGTGTGCCTTGAATTACGCTGACGCACTAATCAACTGAACTGTGATATCGAAAAACTATGAGTCATTAAAAAAACTGAAATTTAAAATTATTCTCATAGTTAGTCACATCAGTTGCATGACTATGTTTAAATTATAGGCTTAAATATTATAACTACTAATAAAAAATTCCACATATTTCCACACACACATTTAAACGAACACTTTATCTAAGAGTAAAGAGTTTTTTTAGATCAAAGACATGTAAATGAACATAGCAATTAAAGCAAACAAGTTTCAAGAATCACAAGTGGAAGCAGTGGAATCAATTCTAGAGTCAGACAGAATATTATGCTGTGGAATCTGTGCGACTGGGTGATCTTTGGCATTGGAATTGCTGGAATCACTGATTCACTGTGTTTCATCGAACAGTCGAACATGTTCTATTTATGCCGAACTCTCGGGACCCCCGCCGAAGAATCAACTGTGCGGAGGTTCGTTAAAGAAGAAGAAGAATAAGCATCGGCTCCGTTGAGGTTGTGGTTGGTTGATTGGTAGCGGGGGAAAGCAGCATCAACAACAGCGACAACAATCGGTTTGTGTTCGACTTATTTTTACTTATGAAAATCAAAAGACAAAGAAACACAGAGACACACAGACACACACAAACACACGCACGCACACAGACGCACATACACACACACACATACAGGAAAATGTAAATTTTATGCCTCTGGCAATGCTCACGTTTAAGTCGGTGTCATAAACGGATTGGAATTCGACAAGCATCACAAATAAAGCGTCACACTTCTGAAGTACTCGACAGACTCTGTCTCTTGGCTTGAACTAGTTTTTCAAAAACATTTTCTTTTTCCATCTGACTGTGTAGAGTTTTTAATTTCTAAAGTACTTGACAGACTCTGTGCCTGACTTGAACTGGTTATTCATTCATTTCTTTTTCAATCGACTTTGAATAGTTTTTCAAATTAAAATTACTTCTTTGATTTAAAATGCATTTTAAAGTTATAAACACAGTCTGATATATAATCAGACTATTTTCTTTTTCAATCTGATTCTGAATATTTTTTAACTAATTGTAGCTCTGCTTTTGGTAAATCTTAAAAAATTACTTTTGTGATTAAAAATGCATTTCACAACATTTTGAAACGCATAAAAAAACAAAGAAATACTTCAACCGCAAGAGTTTGCTGTCTTATGTTGATGATGTGTTGCTTGAATGTTGCAATTTCAATTAGGATAAGCACTTGTCTGCACATAAGCACAAATAAAATTATAATTTGCATATTACAGAAACTCTTTGGACGACGAGGCTGGGTGCATGTGCCAAGAGGTTTACTCATGTATTAAATAACCACATGTAAAATAAGTTGAAATGCCTTTTTGTGCGAGTAAGCAGCAAGTTTTAAAGTATAATGTAGAGTTTATGCTCAAATAAGATGTGGTTGTTGTAATTATTGTTGTTGTTGTTGGTCTCTTGTCTAGTTTTACCCAAGGGGGTGACACATTTTGCTGCCACTGAATGTGTGTGTGTGTGTGTGAGTGTTTGCTCGTTGTGGTCTCGTGGTTTTCGGTTTTACTTTTCCACATCTGTATACATATGTGTCTGCTCATAGTTAGAGCGGTGCCTTGTACTGCGGGCTATGGCATTGGAGTTTCATATTACGAGCCCTCCATATATATATACACACATATATATCTTTTCGTTTGCTGACCCAACGAAACGGGGCCGAAATAATAGAATTAACCAACAGCTTTGCTAATAAAAAATACCCAGACTTAAAGAATTGTAGCTTATTTCTAAGAAAGAAAATAAATTTTCAACTTGTTGGCTTATTCAAATTTCGTTTTAATTACTTACAATATTAGTTCTTATTAACAATTGACTTTTAGAGAAAACGTATCAGAAGCGAGAAATTTAACTTATTTTTAATTATAAAAACAAGTTTGCCCATAAATACAAACAATAACAAAAAACAATACTTTTGTCCAACCACAAAATTAATAACAAAAACAGATAAAAGCACCAACAAAAAATGGTACAAAAACACACACAATTTTAAAGCCAAACTTGTTTAGAACTCAAAATCAAGCTTTGAGCTTCGACCGCCACTCTCGACAATTTATTCATGAATTTATTTAGACGCATTGTTGGGTTTTTTTTTTTTGGCTAAAACAAACTTTTACTTTTCATCATTTGTTGTGCGGCATTGTTGCTGCTGCTGCTGCCACTTTTTATTTGTATCTGCTTATGTCTGTAAGTCTGCTTCAAAGAAATCGTTCGTATTGCAATTAATCTTCAGCTGGCAAACCAATTAAGTAACCATATATATACTAAATCCCCCTAAAGATCTATCTCCCCCAACTCTCAACACATTGTCGATTGTGTGTGTGGGCAGTGAAAGTTTGTCGGTTTGTCGGTTTGTCGGCTCGTTCTATTCCATTGGGTCAACCCAGCTGATGATCACAATTTGCATATCTAAAAAAAAGTTAGAAGAAAAAAATCAACATTTCCAGCTGCAGTCAGTTGCACTCTTGCGTGGTCTTGAAATGTGTAGAAATCGGGTCAACTAACATTTTTAAAGGCACTGTTCATAAATCTTCGCAGACCTACTGAAATTGATGTATCTGTTGCCGCATTAGAAATCTGTAAAGGGCAAAGCAATATATATCAGCTTTCATATATATGCAGTAAAATATTCAAATTAAATTACTTTTTTTTTTAGAAAAAATATGTACTTAATTTTTTTGGTGTTCATTTAAGGCTTGAAAGTGACACTTTCTACACCCGCTGCGGCTGACAGTCGAGTGCCAAAAGGATTAGCTCAGTGGGTGACCTTACACGAGCAGTTATTGACATTTTTTTTTCACTTTTTGCGGGCCATTTCTATGCAAATCAGTTAGAAACACGCACGCCAAATAATGGCCCAGGCTTTCAATAGAGCTCATTATATGCGATATGAATGTATATGGATATGCAAATGCGAAATGCGAAAGGACTGCGTTCTATGTCTAAGTGTGGGTATTTCTGAGTGTGTTTTCGAGTATTCGGATTCCGCCTAACCCAAGGCAAAAGAATTTGAATGCGGGCTTGGCCCGCTTTGCAACTGAGAATGTGAGAGAGCGACAGACAGCCAGACAGAACTTTCTCTTACGTAATGTAATCGACATGTTCAGTACTTTGATTATAATGGAATATCCATGAAGTCAGGCTCTATAAAATAAATAAAGAGGTATATATAGAAGCACATAATAATGTATAATAATATCTGAATACAAGAAATATATAATGCTTATAATAAATAAGTTATTAACGATAATCAGTATGAAATTATAAATACTCTAATACATTAATCATACTTTGCATGAATAAGTCTTTATTCCGTATAATATGAAAACCTTTATTCCTTTCTTGTTTTTTAGCACACACAAATGATAACAATGTAACTGGAACACAGACGAGCTGCTTATAAAACGAAAGTTCTTTGAGGCTAGTTCGATTCGCCCTATCTGCGAAAAAAAACTTTTAATCAGGTTAGTCACAAAACGGTTCTCTTCTCCCGAAGTAAACAAATTTGATTTGGATAAACATAACGGATGTATATAACACATATTTATATGAAAGATATAAGCTTACTTTGCCAGGCAAACATAAAACAAATCCGCTTCAGAGGCTTTTTCTTGTTCTTGGTATCAGCAACTGTCGACAAAAGTCGCAAACAAAAAAATAGCCTTCGCCTTCAAATATTAGATTCATTGTAATACACATTTAAAAGAGATAAGTAAACAAGCCAAGAGTACACAAAGAAAAGAGATGATTGCCTGTTGTTATTGTTGTAATGTGAGCATATGCGTAAATGTATAAAATATACTTCACAACAATAGCCTTATTGTTGTTGATTTAACTCAATGCTGATAAGTAAGAAAATTATCAAGCAGAAATTAAATTTCCTTTGCAAATGTTATCATTGAATAACAGCCTAACTTGGGGCTGTTGACTCTGTTTGCCTGTCAACTGTTAACTACACACACACACACACATACATACATACACATATACATATATACACACACACACAGACTTGGATTCTTCAACAATTTCTTCCTTTGCCTTATATGGTTATTTTCAAAGTAGGGTCACCAGTGGCATAGTAATTTGTTGTTTTTTTTTCAGATTATTCGTTGACTAGGTCAGTATGTGTATGTCTTAACTTTTAGTTTTAGCCGAGGACTCGAAACGACGACTGCGCACTGCTGAGCAACAGAGATAGAGCGAGAGCGAGAGTGTGAGAGCGAGTGGAAGCTTTAAACCTTTAGCAACACAGCAGGCAATCAACATTGTGGGCACATGTTACTAGAACTATTACAACAACTATTACTATTCAATATATTTCTGCATATTATTAGAATGCAACTCAAGAGTTGCAAAATTTCTGCTCTGAAATCGGTATTTAAATTCTGTTCTGCTTCACTTTTTAAGTTACTTTTGTTTGGCAACATGTGTCTAAGGCAAAATGTTGCTAAGAGTCATTGTGCTCTGATGCTGCAGTTGTTTTTTGCTCTCACGCCCACGCGAGAGCGGCTTTCGGGCTGCGCTCCTTGACCTTGGCGCACACATAAAATGTTGCTACAGCATTTTGCTTTGCGCTTCGCTTGTGTCATCCCATTTGTAGATGTGTGCGTGTGTGTGTGCCCCGATGCCGAAGCTGCGAATTCGTTCAGACTCCGTCTCAGCGACGAGAAAAAAACGCATTTTAGTCACATATTTTTCGTTGGCAGCCACAAGTTGTAGCCTCGCCGCGTTCTACTTCTTCTTCTTCTGTTTCTCTTTCTCTGTGTTAAAAAAAAAGTGAGTGTGTTGCAAATGAAATCATAAGAATTTAATGTACTCGCATATGGTAATTCATATATATATATATATATAAATATGTGTTTATATGCTTGAAACGACGCACACGCGACAGCGATCCCCCCCACAAAGTTGGCATTCTATATAGATACAGGGGATACATGGGATACATATGGGGGGATACACTGCCCAAATGGCACGCTCCCATCGCATCGGTCACAGTGACGCAGTCATTCGAAAATAAACAACCAAATCATCAGCATCAACATTGGCATCAGCACCACTTTAGGGGCCGTCCGACAGAATCTCTGAATCAGCAAAATCAGCAGCAGCCTCTGTCGGTCCCTGAGTCTTCATCACTGCGTCATCGGCGCCGCTTTATGCGCCGAAGTTGCCCTTTTTTTCGCTAACCCTTGGGAAATTTGTTGTTTGTTTATTGATTATGTTTGTTGCTCGCTGAAAATCGCGATTAATAATAAGCGGCACAGCAATATTTTCAAGTATTTCAAGGGTGTGTACATTTAATTATACATGTGTGTGTGTGTGTTTGTTTGTATATAAATATATGCTCTACATAATAGCTGTTCAAAGTTCAAGTACTGCAAAGAATGTCTATTGTTTTGATTTTGAACATTTTTAATTATAATGCGATCTAGATTATTTTTATGTACATATACAAACATAAATCGTTTTCGATGCCAAAATTTATCGCTTATATAAGAAAAAAAAGTGCTTGAATCACTTTAACTAGAAAAATTAAGGGCTAAGGATTTTTTTTTAATTTCTATACATATGATGAAAAGAATTATGAGTTTTGATTTTTTGATTTCAAAAGTGATTTTCAAAACACGCTTTGGCTTCTGATTCAATTCTCCAGCTACAATTCATGTAATGAAATGTATTTTTGGATTTTCTGCCAAATTTCAATGCAACAATTATAACATGTAAATAATCCAAGACACTCCCAACACTTTTATTTAATTTGGTAAGCATTTAGAATCTAAAATGTATATACATTTGCTTAATCATTAATTTAATGTGCGTGCCTAATTTTCTATTCAAATTAAAGTTCGTCTATGATTCATTCACACCTTGGCACAATTTGTTGTCGTATTATTTGAAATATATTTCGTACTGACGAACAAATAAAAAGAAGAAGAAGAAGAAGAAGTAGATAAAAAAAAAAGAAGGCGACGAAGCTGTGAAGTCATTATAATTAATGGTCGCATTATAAGTAAGTAAGTTGAACACAGTTTACTGCCTAACCTAGGGCACTGCAAACTGTTTTTTGACTGAATGACTGACTGAATGATTGTGTAAACGTGCAATGAGCATGCAGTTTGTGTTGTCTTTCGTCTCTCGTCTCTCGGTTTGTCAGTTTCGCTTAACTATCTTTTGCATCTTTTCCGGTCAGGGGCACTTTCCTTTTCAATTTTTGAGCGGCGTTTTCTGCGCATTATGCCATTTTTTTTTTTTTTTTTTTTGCAATGACGTTAGCTGCTGCTACTGCTGCTCTTTGTCATTGAGTTTGCAGCCAAAGTCAAAAGTGTTGGCAACAAGTGTGCTTTACTGCCTTGAGAACTTTTTTGTTTTGGTTTTTTCATTTTAGTTTTCTTTGTTGCCACTTGTTTTACTGCATTTTCATTCAAGGCGACATTGTGTAAGGCTGGCGGCTAAAACTCTTAGCCAAAAACTTCCTGGCAGCAGCGCATTGTGTGTACTTTTAGTTTTGTTGCCAGTCTGTTTTCAGTCTGTGGTTGTGTGTTTTGTTTGTTTTTTGTTTGCCCCATTGTCTGGCCCGGCACATCATAATTATGTTGGCAAATTTGAGTAATGAGCAAGTGCAATTACCCGCGTGTAAGCAACAACAACAGCAACAACAAAAACAACAACAGCTACAGATACTGCTAAGTATCTGTGCTCACAGCCAAAACATAGTATTCAGTATGCAAATATACTTACGTACATATTTGTAAGTAGTATAATTATTAAAGTTTGCGTTGCGTTTCACGGAGTCTTAACTTGTCTGTCTATATATACATATATATTTATACATGTGTATATATAGATATGTAAATATGTTTGCTTGTGCGCATCTGTAAAATGTATGCAAATGAAAGCCAAAGTTAATTTGTTAGATTTTCACGTTGCGATATGCGCTGCACACACGAATTACAGATTGCGACTATGAGAGTGCAACACACGGTGGCAACAACACAAAAGGGGGCTACTGTTGCGGTCAGTTATCGCCTCACTCAAGTCTACAACGATGACTAAGATTCAGGTGTTAATTTACCATACGCAGTTAGCAAATTATAAATTTAGTTCGAGCTTTGTCTAACTTAATCGGAAGCAGCTCATGAAAGTATGCAGTATTCAATTCTTAGAAGATTTCCTATCCAGTTTCAACTAATTTAATTATAGTATATTGTCCATATACCAATAGAAGCTTATCAACCTCCCACGTCTAAATTAGTTTCTACAAATATGCTGCATACTTTGAGGCTGGTGCTGAAAATCATTTGTGGATCGTATAGATTGCATACTCTTCTTCATCTATTGACATCAATTTGAGTTTGAAATATTATAATATTTTTTTTATGTTCTAATAGTTAGCAGGAGAAATCACCCTTACAAATAAGGTATTCTAATAAGACTCTTCACATATGTATCTGTATCCTAGCGACTGTTCACAACTTCAACGTTCTTCTAAATAATCGGGAAAGCCTGCATTCACCTAAAAGTGTTAATTATAGTCAATTATGCATGTACGGCATACATAGATAGAAAGTGTCTTCTCCACTGCTAAATTTAAGCAATTAAAATTGTTAAAGTCGATAGAAAGTATCTTCGTCACTGCTAAATTTAAGCAATTAAAATCGTTGTACAAGCAGCAGGATCTTATCGTGTGTTTCAAGTCTGTAGCTTTCAATTGATTTATTCAATATAATCCCATAGATCTTAATTGCTATTCTTGTGCTTTGCATATCGTACTTAGGCTACACACTTTTTTAAAATATATTTTCACTGGCTTAACAACATTGTTTTCTCTTTTGCAGCATGTCTTCCGGCCTGATGTCGTGTGTGCGAGAAAACTCGCCACCGCTGGAATTGGAGTTAAGTGCGGGTGCGGGTCCATTATCATTGCCCGAGGGCAAAAGCAGATCACATGGCTATCAGGGAGCAGGCGCAACATCCACACCCATTGCTAGTCCGGAGCAGGGAGCCACAACTGATGGCAACAGCAGCTCAGCAATTGTGGGTAAGTCACAATGATTAGAGTATATTTTCAAGCACAAATGTAATTATGTAAGATTATGTTTGCACAGACAACTACACACACTCACACACATACGTAAATACATTTGTACATGCTTTGCAAAAACAGTCCGCGACTTTCCCGCACTGACAGCCGAACAATTGCAACAATGCGCAGCAATTGTTTATGCCCTACACCAAAAAAGGGTAGCTGCAAATTGAGGTGACTTGTGCTGCTGCTTATAGCCAAAAGTATGCCTTAAGCGTGAGAGAGCTGCACTTAGTCACATATTAACAACATGTGTGTGTGTGTATCTGTTTATGTATGTGCATAATTAGCTGGAGCTGTGAATTTTGCAACCGCAATAGTTAGTCAGTTTGTCATACGAATAGTATTCAAAGTATTCATTGGTGTACATCGTACAACAGTTTGTAGTACGTATTTATGTAGGGACGTATTTAATTATACATACATACAATATGAGTGACCTTTAGTGTTACGAATTGGGTTGCTTTAACGAAAGAAGTTTTCATTTGAATGTTGAAATTGAGATGCTTAAAATAAATCAAGAATACAATATCTTTATGGTCCTTCCTGCTGGGAATCTCTCACTTAAACAGTTATTTGTAGACCAGAGAACTTCTAAATATGATTGTGTAATAAAAGTAATACTAATCTCCTTGGCTTTTATTAAGCTTATTATATACTTCCAACCTTAACAATTTATTACCAATTGCAGTAGCACAAGCTAAACAGATGCGTTGTTATGTTAACCCAAATTGGATAGCCGTAAAATATATATGTACGTATTAGCTCTTATTCCATGGCATCGAAACAATGGATATTTTGAATTTAGTAGTCGCACATCGTCACTCTGACAACGAATAATGTTTATGTAATTGCGGATGGTAAACACAACAACTTTCTATAACTTGTTCTAGGCATTGAGGCATATGTGAAACTGTTGGCTTTTGTTGTTGGTAACCTACGCTAACTAAGCTAACTATAACAATAATAGTCAAGCAAGCGAAACTCCACAAAGCCAACGACGAATAAGTAACTACTTACATATATATTAAATTTATGTACGTGTGCACGATAACAGTGTGCTGTTAACCATTAACAGTGTGATGTTAACGCATGTACAATGTGTAAGAGCTAATCAGTTAGCCGTCAATAATATAAGCCATAAGGCAAAACATTTGCCGATCCGTTGTCGATGTCGATTTCGTAGCCGAGTTTATGTGCTCGGGTTATTTATTTTTCGCTTCGTTTCGTTTCGATTTCAATTTGTAGTTTGGTGTCTGCTATTTCGACTGCGTTGTTCGAATTCGTACTCTCTTGTTTTTTCCACCTATACATTTAATCATTCGCTGCTCTTCGCTTCACCTGTGCAGGTGGCATCCATTGCGCTGTTGTACCTGACGCGTGTCGCACTAATTGCCTTTTGCTCATAAGTGACTAAATTCGAAGTGAAACATCGACGGTCAATCGTCTTATTACCGAATCAATATTTCTAAAAGTACTTAAAAGTTAAGCCAAGTGCATAATTTAATTATTAAATAATATTGTGCCTTTAATTAAAGCTACAGCAAAGCCTATCGAAAAGGCTAACTTAAGTGCATAAGTGTGTTTTTTATCGATTTGTGCATATCAAGTGAAACGAAACCGACATATACTTCAACAAATACATATGTACAACTTCTGACTTTGACTAGCTGAATTTGATTGTTTACAACATACAGTAAACATTCGTGCATTCCTCCTTAACCGATAAACAATATAAAACAGCTGTATCTTTTTTCCGCCGAATTTTTATTTGAACAGGTAATAGCTTTTAATTTTTATTTTTCATCACTTTTTTCTATTTATTCAAGCACGAAATGTTTCGCCGTGAAAACAGTGATGGAAAGCCATAAATAATAATTGCGGGTAGACCGATTAAACACATATCAAATTGTACTTGTCTAACTACATATACACATTTTTTATATAGATAGACATGCTTGTAGAATTCTATTTGAGGCCTAATCACAGTTTATGACAGTCACGACTTGTGACCCTTTGCTGTGCCAGCTGAGCGACCAATAACAATCGACTGTAAATTATTTGGGTCAGATATTATCCAACAATTAAACCGCTCAATGAGCAGCATTGCATTTAGTGGTTCAATGAAAAATACTACTTACATAATATGTGTGAGACGACAAAAGAAAAACAAACAACGAATTGTATAAGGCATGTTAAAGGTTTATCCATCGATCCATCGATCGAAAATGCGCACAATTCCCATAATCAGAACTTTATTTTCAGTACACTTGTCGAGGCGTTGGGAGACGGGTGGTGGTCAGACTTGGCTGGATGCCGCTAATTGAAGTAGCAGGGGCATTGTGTAATCAGTTTGAGTGTGAAACAACTACGACTTGCTCTCTTTTTGTTTCTTGTTAGTGCTGATAAGCTGACGATGTCATCGACGCCACGTTTGCCAGTTGATTGAAGCCAATTTCCCCGAGATTATAGACTTTTCGTCAATAGAGATTGTCAACGCCACCCAGTTTGGACTCTTATCAAGTCTAGCTGTCTCGCGTATTTCTAAATATTTAACGATTTGGGTGTATTTAAGCAATAATATATTGCCAAATGTTAAACAACACGCAGTTGAGTGACAATTAAATTAAATTGAATTAAACGAGCCATACTTTTAGTTACTTAATCCTTTAAAAATAGGTATAATTGTCTTTGGAAGTAGCTCTGACCACATAAAGTATAAAAATATATATATCATATACATTCAGATATTCTTTATCAGCTGCACAAATGTCATTAAGATAGAATAAGAAACACCAGAGGTAAATTTAACTGCTGACTTTAGACTTTTGATATTCATATGCAATATAAAAAATCAAAAATCAAAACACAAATTTCTGCTCTTCAAGTCGATTTGCAATCGAGCTATAGAAAATGCAACCATTTGGACTGCAAATCGGCCAAAACCAAGGCTACAAATTGTACACAATCTTCGCCATTTGCATTTTGAAAGCTGTCTAGAATATGTTGTTGAATGTTGAATGAGTTTTTGTGGCAGCCAACGCAGCTCGCATTGCGCAACTTTAAGTTGTTTTCTGTGTTGTTCTCTTGCCTCGCTCTTGGTCTCTATTCTCTATTCACTGTTTTGCTATATTTAGTGTGTCAGCGTAAGTGAATTAAGCACTTGCAAAGCGGATAAGCTGCCCACACGCCAATGCCAGCTGGGAGCAACAAGGTGATGACGCCAATAATTTGGAGGCGTGGCCAGCACCTAACGCCTAGCTGGGGGGCTAGGCTCACTTGACCTTACGACGGCCAAACAAGAGCTGAGCCAAAGCCCAAAGCATGGACAAAAAAAAAGAGTAAAACATTCATACAACACACACACACACACATGTGTCAGTTATCCGCTCACACAACAACTGAAACCACTGAAACAACAACAAGAGTCTCCAATTACTGCAACATGCTGCTGGCTAAAATAGTGGCAATCAATTTGGTTTTGTCATATCTCAGTCTTTTAGTCATTTTGCCAGTTTGCCAGTTTGAAAGCTTGCCAATTTGCATTTCTGTGCGCGCCAACAGTTTGCAAAATGATTAATTAATAAAATGCGCCTACTTGCGCAAAAGACGGCCAAAATCGTTACCCAGACAGCTCAACCATTTCAACGTCTCAACGCCTATTTGCTTTAGCTAGAATTCGTGTCATCGCCACAACAATTATAATAACAATAACAATAATAATAAAGAAAAACAACAACAACCCACATGCATCATATAAATCAGCCAGATATATACATAAATATAAATATATAACTGGAAATACACAGCACTTAAACTTTTGCATCAACAATTGCCTCATGCTATTTAACTCACAATGTTTTGATAAATTACTTAAGTCCCGGCAAGAGACAAACAATGATACATAAAAACACATGTGAAATGATGACGACGCCAAAAGCAAAACAGAATTAATATTATTTTTGGCAAATATAATACAAAGAAATCAGTGTAAAACTTACAAGCCTATTGTAAGCAGTATTGTTAATATGAACTCAACGTGACTCACGGCATTTATAAGCAAATGGGTAAAAAGTGGGTAAAAAGATTATAATGGTTAATCTCACAATGATGAGATAGTGGAAGTGGACTCTTATCGAGAAGAGATTTAGTAACGTGATAGAGACACGTAGGCGGCACCCTTCGTGACCGTAATAAAACTCTAAATGATAAGAGTTCTTCGAATCAAATATATATTGATAGGATAATGAGTCGAGACGCATTTGCAGCACCTAGATTTGTACCTAGATAGGGTCTAACGTAGGATAAGCATAAGTATGGACAGTTTACGATCATTTAAGGGTTTTCAACAAACCTGCCTAACCATTTCGGCAACAGTCTATGCTCAAACTTATAAATACGACGATAGCTATAATAAAAATTACGTAAACGTATGCCAAAGTCAGTAATGTAAGCAGACAAAGCCCTGTTTAGCCTTGAGCCAAACTAAAATTAGTCCACAATTGAATTTACAAACAATAAGATCAATAAGCAATTATGAATCTATGAACTTTGACAAAGAAAACCCAATGCCTTTAATCGCGTGACAGCAAATATACATACATATATATGTATATATGCATGCATAAAAGATATGGATTGGCCCCAAAACGTGACTGGAATATTTCGTCGATATTTGATATGCACGGCAGCCAGCCAGCTTGCCAGCCAGCGGTAGCGGTATCGGTAGCCGCTGTGACGTCCATTAAGGGAGCAAAGTCGCATTTCTTTGGTTTTTGCAATTGGCAATTCTTGCACTTCCGCTAAAATTGAATAAAAAGAAAGTGCTGAAGTCTCTCAACAATTGCCTTCAATTCTAAATAGATATTTTTTGTGTTTTGGGAAATCTACTTTTTATGTGTTATGTCAAAAATTAAATGTTTACAAGTTTGAATATTTGGAAAACAAGAACTGATATAGTGTGTATTGATTTATCATCTAGTGGCTGCCTGTGCCAAGCAATAATCATTTGGTACAAATGACACATGCTATTTTTGAATTGAGTCACGTTTTTGGAGGCAATGACATCATATCATATTTGTTTTAACCCTTTACTGTTTTTGAGGGGAGACAAACAAGCAACTAGCTAGTATTCTAATATATACATATATCTTATAAACACTTGCTAAATATCGCATACTTAATGCATTAGCGGATTTAATAAATTGTATCGTGGTTTTCGTATTTTTTATGACATGTCGATCCGCTAATTGAGCTGTGTAAACAGCACGAAAGGCGTAAAAGCCTTATCAGCCATAGAACATATATGTACGTTATGAGGAGAACCCTAAAATTCTATAATGGCACAATAAGCGGGGCAACACGAATGTCAATATCAACAACAGCCATTAAATTGATTATAATTTACAATACAAGTAAACTGATGCGCAAAAAATAAAAACACAAAACGGCAGACACATTTCTGATATTTAGTAGAGTCTTTAAAAGGGGCTACAATTGTGGAAATCATTTTGAAAAGTTCAAGTTTTGACAAAGCTTCAAAGTGAATTGGAAATTGGGATTGTATATATCGCACTATCAAAAACGTATACCAATATATTCGTACTCATATATTCATAGATTAATTGCGACCTTGCCAAACAGCCCCAACTCTCTATCTCTCACTCTCTCACACACATTCTCTGGGCTTGTCGCACTTTCATTTAGCATTTGGGTATTCCCAAAGAGCAGCAGCGCATTGGCTTGGCTTTGCTTTTGCCTATTTATGGGCATGTTTTTTGTCGATCGTTGGCCAATTTTTTTTTGCTTTTGGTTTCGTTGCTTATCAGTCGGTTGTGACGATGAATTGTGTGAGCAATTTCATTGCTCAACTCTCAATAAATTGTGAAAGATATTCAGAACAATTAATGATACCAATTTGGTTCACAATGTGTGCGTATTCTTGTGATAATAATAAAAATAAATAAATAACCTGCAAAAAGACTTTTTAAATATGCACTTGAAGACTTAATTTCGTGTTATCAGCTACGATCATTTGTGAAAATGACTAGAAACGTGCATATAAAGTTATGAACAGATTAGGATACAACTTGCTTGAGGAGGAACACTGGCAAGACAAAAAGCAAGCTATACATTTAGTGTTTATTTATTTGTATCTAATTTTTCGGCAGCTGAAATTTTTCCATTCAGTTTCAATTTTGAACTAAATTAAAGTAATTACTTACCCAATTGTTCGTAACGATTTCTCTTGTAGAGCAACAGCAGCAGAAGCGACGTCGCTTCCATCCACTGCGAAATCTCCGGCGTATCTTTCGCCGTCGCACAATCAATAGTGCAGATAGCGCTGCTGCTGCCACTGGTGGCGAGGTGCAAGGTGTGGGCTCGTGCAATACATTGCCACCACCGACGAGCAGTGCCAGTGAGAAGAATCTGCGCAGTGTTGCCATTGCTGGAGGCACATCCTCTGCAGCCGCCGAGGCAGTCTCAGCATCCTCGCCAGCATCGCCGCTCACCCATCAGCAGCTGCATGAGAGCTACCAGACGCAATCGCTACCAAAATCCAAATCCTACGGCACCCATCGCGATGAGCTGCTGAGTGTGCTGCTTGGCAAGAAGAGAGCTAGCAAGCAGACGCATTGCTTGGAGCAACCGGTCACTCTACTCCACGCCCAGCCACAATCCCAAACTGAAGCCATGTATCAAACGCAGCGACAGCATGTGGGCGTGGCCGTCTTCCCGGACACCATTGGCATGAGCCGGAACTCATATTTTGTCGAGAAGCGACATCACCAGCGCCAGATGCGCAGCGTCGGCGACTCCTCGCAGGAGCTGGATGCCGAGGACAGCGTTGCCGTTGGCGCCACGGACATGTCCGACAGCCAGCGCAGTCTGAGTGAGGCACGCCTGCTGGACGCTGATGCGGATGGGTAAGCATCGATCCCTTCGAGCTGCCGGCCCAATGCTAATCATCTTCCTTTCTAGCAGCGGTTACACACGTGAAACTCTCTCCCAGTCACATGACAGTGTCTTCTCCGAATCCGCAACTGCCAGCAGCCTTTCAATCGTACTCAAGGTGAGTCATTTAGTCTTAGCAAACAAAAAACTGGTTGGAAATACTCTCAGATGTGTTCGCTCTCTCAGAATACAAGTAGGGGTATTCAATCCCAATGCTGTTCCCCCAAAATAGCTTTCCTTTCATGTCAACCCATTTTAGTACATGCTTGTATTAAACTCTTGGACTAACAGGGACTCTTAACGGATAGATTAACACTCCATGCTATTTTTGGTTGACTTTTATCGATCCGAAATGGCCGAATCCAAGCTCACAATTAGCCATGACTCACACAAAGCAACCCCAAAATGCATGTTTGTAATTGAAGCGGTCTTAAATAACAGTTAACAGCCTCGATAGGGTTGTTATTGTGCAACAACAACAGCAACAACAACAGCAACAGCCACAGCAACAGCCACAGCAACAAATACCCATTCATATATATGTTTGTGCCCCACATGTATTGTTGTACTGTTGAGTCACTGCTTAAATTGATTTTAATCAAATTCAATTTACTCGCATTTTTGTATGCGTTGCCTTTGGGGAAAGTGGTCATTGACTCAGCTTCCATTAATTGCTGCCTCTTGTGGCCATTTCCCAAATCTGTGACTTGGGTCCGTTTATGTTCTGGGGCTGCATTGATTGCCTTTGTTCAGATACGCCAGTCAATTGAGCCAATTTCGCAATCGCTTAAGCCAATGACATTAGTATTTGTTGCTCAAGTAATTTGTTAAGATTTTAATAGCATATCGGGTGAGGTAAGAAATTGAATTTTGTGTTTATATAGTTTTTTGTTCAATATCAGTAAAGAATAATTCCATAAAAGTGTAAGTTTTCTATCAGTTTTCTATGACAAATGAACACAATTTTCTTTCGATACTTTTCAATTACATTCCCATTTTCATATGTACATTTTCTGCAGTCAAATGTATTTTCCTTTTTTCTTTTCTTTTTTTTTTTGAGTGTATAATTATTACCTAACTTGATCAACGGCAGCAGCAGAAGCAGAAGCAACTGTGGTGTCGACGTCCGCGCCAGTTTTGACTGCATAATCGGTAAAGTTGAGTGTGAAAGAAGAAGAGGAAATAAGTAAGAAGCAGAGGCCGCCACCGCACGCGTCTCCGTGCAACTGTAACTGCAAGTTGCAAAGCCCCAAGCCCGAAGCCTGTTGTTGCAACAGTCTAATAGTGTTTTGGACTGGAGCTTGCTCCCCCAAAACAAGTTGCATTTGCAGCATGGCGCGTGGCAATGTGTGGCTTCTTCTACTGCCTCTGTTCCTTCTTCTTCTTCTACCTCGTCCCCTTGTTGTGTTTCTAATGCTTCTTCAGTGATTGCTGCTGCGGCCAAACGAGTTACTTGCTGCCTGCCTGAGACTATCTGTATTGGTATTGGTTGCACTGCACTCGTCCGCCGGTTACTGCTTCTCGTTATTCCACTTTTTTCCACTTGACTGTCAGTTAGCCGTTGCGCTTCTACCCTCCGTCTCCCCCTTCCTCCCTCCCACCCCACAGCTGATAGCTTATTTGCCAACCTGGTTAGCAAATAAATCGCATTTCTTTCTGTTTCTATGCTATTGAACTCCTGCAAAGTTTTCCGCTAAATCAGTTTGCTTCGAGTCACTTGGACGTCGACAACGCTTCTGCTCGCAATCGGCAAAAATCATCAGAATAGAAAATTCAAATTGGAAAAGTGAAAAAGTTTCAAAGTTGTGCAACTTTTGTGTAAACTACTTTGCCTCGTTACCAACCAACTAAATTTACAATTATTATTTTTTGTGGTGTAAGAAAGCTAGATTTGAATATTCTCGTTTCTAGAAGTTATCTAAAGGAGTTCTGTTATATGTGCCAGCTCAGTAATAAATTGATGAGATATTCATCCCAGTAAAACGGAATTTCCAATAAAAAATCGTAGGATCATTGAAGCTTTCGCTTCCTGTGTGTGAGTTAAGCCTTTGCCAACTTAGTTTTTATCCCAGGCCAATGTGACTCGCATTTAACCGGTTCGAAAGACGCTCCACAGATTGTATATATAAATAATGAAAAGAAAAGAAGAAAAAAAAACAAATAGAAAGAGAAAAAAATCTAGTTGACGGTCCATAATGGGGTAATTGAGCGACAGCGCAGACATTCAATTTTCACTGTACTGCCGACGACGATAACTTGGCTATGGTGAATATGGTAACACGGTAACACGCATTGGTTGGTAGCAAACCAGGTTGCTCAGGAGCGGTCACACACATCAACAGCCACTCAAATGCCATCAGTTGGGGCAAAGATGAGGAGTTGGAGAGAGTGGGGGAGGGGAAATGGGAATGAGAATGATGGGGACAACATGCAATGTCATTTCACACGCTCGACTTTAATTGCCTGTGCCTGGGTGTGCGAGAGAGAATGGACAGAGGAACTTGGTCCAAACCTGTTGGCCAACTTTGGGTCTATAGGACTGACTGACTGTGGCCGAAAAGAAAATGTCCAAATCAAATGTTGAAGAAATTAGACAACCCACATCCAAAAAAAAATGCATACAAACAATATCAGCTTGTATGCTTTTAGTAAGTGGAGTATTCAGACTTCCTGCTTGGTGGGCTCGCAAATTGCATAAGCAATTGATTTGCATACCTTATGGATTTCCGCGTCCATTAAACGGTTGTTATTTTCCCAAAACATAATGATGAATTGGATAATATGAATAACCTTAGTTGGGTTTTAAGAAATAACACAAAGAACAGTTTGACAAGCCTTGAAAATTGTTTGAATACCCAAATGTGCTCATCTGAGTTGCCAGAGAAATAGAAAAAAGCGTTAACAGACTGTCTGCAGTTTCAACCCATAGCAAACCAACAAAATCAGCGTAGAACTCTTGAAATTATTATTATTTTTGCTCTAAAAATATTACTTTTGTTAGAAATGATTAAGTTTTGTGTTCGCTTTTATTTTCGTAATTGGATTTGCATAACTGCACAGTGATTTAGTTGACTGCAACAGGAAGCCAATTTTCCGCATCCATATGTTTGACATCTAAAGTGCAAAAGCACAGTCCAAAATGATTTAATTCCAACGTTTTGCATTTCATTGCTGCCAACTGTTGCGCCGCAATGCGAAAGCGAAAAAATACAAATAAAAAAACATGTCATAGCCAAACTAATGGCAAACTCGTCGCACTCCCCAACAGATGTCGACGTGCTGTTGTAATAAACACACTGTCAGACAGTCACTTAGTCACTTAGTCAGTTAGTCAGTCCGTCTGTCGGATGACTGCTGGCCACAAGTTGCATGTTAGGCCAATGGCCACAAGTTGGCCCACTCACCAAGTGTGCCAATAAATCAACGAATGTGACGAGTGGGTGATTCGCAACACATTTGCGCTACTCCATACGAGTGCAAATGAGTGCAAATGAGTGCATATGAGTGCGGCTGCTCTTTTATACTATTGGAGGGATTGTTGTATGGAAAAATGTGTGCACATCAGCTACCTGGTGAATGGGTTCTGGAATACTTCGCATTCATTACCTGTACCTGTCTAAGCTAGCTTGTCAATTTGGACAATTTCATTGCTACACAAGTCATCAAAGAGAAACTGAAATTTCTTTTACTAAACTGGAGAATTATTATTAAAAATTAGTTTTTGAACTGAATATCTTCAGTTTCCAGAAAGAAAACTCTGAAAATTGCTACATATGCTTATTTTCTAGTAGCAGTTTCAAGTACAGTCTTTAATTACATATTTGCTGGAAGTCGACACATGGCTTTAAGTACAACCTGGCTAAACGGGGACATTGAACTCTCCTCGTCACTAATCAATAATAGTGCTACAATTATATTTTGTATATGCGAGAATGTAATTTATGAACGAGGTCTTTAACCTTGCAGCATTTTGGCATTAAATCCTTGGGATGCTGCCCAAAAATAGACTCTAAAAGCGGGAATGGACATGCTTAAGTACGCCGACTTCACGCGTCATGCTCCACAGACGCTGATTAATGTAATGGAAAAAGAAATGAAAACGAAACTGGGAGCGTATCCATAAGGAAGCGTTTGCCCCGATCTTTATAAATAGAGAGAGAGAGAGAGAGACAGAGAGCAGGGAAAGGGTGGGAGAAGTGGGAGAAGAAGAGGAGCAATGCAGTTGCATTTGTTTACTTTGCTCAGCTTGAAGTTTATGTTCTATCTTAACTAGATTTGGGTATTTTCGTTTACCCTTGAAATGCACTCTCCCTCTCCCTCTCTGTCTCTCTCTTTATCTCTCGCTCTTTCTCTCTCTCTCTCTCTCTCTGCAAGTGATGACAATAAACAGATTCACATTGTGCCTGCCTGGCACCCAATTATGTTGTGACTAGGTAAAAAGTCGGAGATACCATTTCACAATTGTTGCATTGTTGTTGTGGCTGTTGCCGCATCTGTCGAGGGTGCTGCCTGCCCCTGTATCTCTCCGTCTGTCCCTGCATCTGCCTGGCTGCCTGCCTCGCCCTATACCACATCGCCATTTCGTGATATGTCGGCTCTACTTATGTCTTCAGTTGCACATTGCACTTGGATGCGTGCACAACGTTGCTTTGTTGCCATTGCCACAACCACTGCTGCCGCTGCTACTACGGCTGTTACTACGGCTGCTGCTGCTGCTGAGGAAAGAAAGTGAAATCTAACGGATCGCGTGCCTGCCACAACGCAACAACAATAGCCCTTATTAGTTAATTATCGCAAGTGTGGTGGAAAAAGCTTCGGTGGCACTTTTAGTTGCTGTTTTGCTGCATCAGCAAATTAATAGAAAATGGTAGCCGGAAGCGCGGGTACCCGCAACATGCAAACCAATCCGTTCCAGCTTTCGTTTTCGGTAAGAGATTATGCGAGTGGTCAACAGCTTCTCCTCTGTGGTTAGCTGGTTCCATATCAATTTCAGACACTGTGACTATCTGAAAAATCGATGAAATTCACACAGAAGACACTAATCGGCTTTGCCCGGGGCAAGTGTTTATTTTTACACTCATTCACCCATTTGCTGTTCTGTTTTTTCCTTCTGTGAAATAACTATAAAACAGGCAACCCTTTGAAAGTAAGTTTGTGTGCAATTAAAGAAAAATATAACCTTCCTTCTAATAACCAACCTTGAGGACGATTTTCTGATAAATGTGGAAAAGATCTTTCGAAAATATCAACTACTTAGCCATTGTCGCTTGGGCAGATACTTATACAGCAGTTGGTTGGGATTTAGATTGAAACTCTTACATCACCAAAAATATGCTCAATATGTAAACTTTGCAAATTCGCTAACAAATTCAACAAACAGTTAAATTCATTTGAGGCCTTGTCCTTGAGTGAATGCTATCGAAATGATTGACTTTAAGCAGAATCCGTTTAAAATGAAATTAACTGGATCATCTAGTGGTGAAAGTCGACTCAGCCGCAGTTGTCTACGCGCCCGTTTAGTGTTTCGCTGGAAGAGCTGGGTAAACCCATGATTTACCCTTAGATGAAACGACTACAACTACAATTCCAACAAATCTTCAACAACATCCAATTTCTCTTATCATCTATTGCAGGCGGAGCTGACAGATGTGTTGCGAAAACGTCGAAATCGTCCCGATGCCTCCGATGAGGACCTGGGTCTGCCTCGAAGTCCCGTTTCGCCGCAGCGCATGACGGGCGCCGGCCAGAGCCGTAAGACTGCCGGCGGCCAGGTCCGTAGTGTGGCTCAGGGCCACGAGTCGTCCTCCCTTAGCCTGTTGAGCGTGAACAGCACCGATGGCGAGGACACCAGCCAAAGCCATAGACAGCACACGAGCAGCAAATCGATTAGCTCCGCGGAGCACAGCAGCTCGGTTCTGTTGCGGGAACAGCACAATCACCACAATGAGGAAGATGTGGATGCAGTGGGTTCGGAACGGCAACGCCTCTCACATGCCGCTGCCAAGCACAAGATGGCCATCCGGCCGGTCAAGAAGAACGGACCGACGCGGCATCACCGAAGAACTCTAGAGGTTTGTGATTATATAATACCTTTGATCTACATAATTATATAATTATATATTTGACTGCTCAACAGACTTCCATACCCGAGGCCAAGGAGGAGGACCTTGCCAAGATGAGCCAAAAACAGGCTCAAAATCCCAGCTTGAGAGCTGTCAAGAGTAAGTTGGGAAATACTCACGTTACTTAGAACTTCAGCTGATATTTGCTTCCCGTAGATGCTGATCTTAAGACCAAGACACGCTCTTTGCCACCGGGCAGTGCATTGACTGCCACAACCACCGCAACTGCCACGAACACCACCAATTCCAATATGCGCACCAAGACAATCGAGCAGAAGAACTCAACGATAACAAATATTAATAGCATCAGTAGCAGCAGCAGCAGCAGCGAGAGAACAACAACCACTTCGCATACCACAACACACACCACATCCTCAACGTCGTCATCTGCGCAATCATTTGGATTGCGTGCACTTAACTTCAAGGCGGCCAATACGCTTCTTGATGCACGCGGCGAATCCTCAACTGATGGCGACGATGTGCCCAATGGCACAGCGGATGCCGGCGAGCATGGATTCCTGCGTCGACTGATGCAACGCAATTCGAAGCGCAGCATTGCGAGAGCCAACGATGGCTTTGAGGATGTAGATAACAGTCAGAACTCAGCCAAGAAGCTGCAGATCTCTACCTCCTGCCTGGAGGCAGCCACACGTGATCCGGTGCAGCTGTCAAGCAAATCGCGTAGCGCCACCTCGCATGAGCAGAACATTCAGGAGACGCGTCAGATCATTAAGCGTGAGATTCATAACGAAGGCAAGCATGGCCTCAATGCCATGGTCAGCAATTATGGCGTCCATCCACAACCACCCACCGCGGTCAAGCCGAAGTCAGGTCCAGCAGCCCGTCAGCGATATCTGCCGCAGGAGCTAGGAGCTACCTCATCCAGTGCCACCCTAACCAACAGTGACACCGATGTAACCAATTTGCTCTCGAGGAGTTCACGTGGCAACGACACCTTCCAGTCCACATCGCTGGTCCGTGAGCAGGCACAACTCAAAACGGAGACTGCCACCACAACAAGTCACTTCGAGCGGAAGCCTCGCATTGTGGGCTTGAGTGCCTTCCAGCAGAAACTCTCGCGCTCCAGCGATTCGATGGGTCAGCACTCGAGCTCCTCCAACTCGTTGGAGACGAGCACGGATGAACCATCACCGCTGTACTACGAGGAAAAGCAGCGCAAGACTGTTGAGAAAGCGCGCAGCTTTCGCAATTATCAGGAGGAGCGCGATGTGATCGCCGAGTCCGCTTCCATGCACAACAATATGCCCAGTCTACCGGATTTGTCGCTCAGTTTCCGTGTGCCCACCTCCTACTACAAGCAACCGCAATCGCCACAGTCACCGCTGACTATGTCTCCCATGTCACCCATGTCACCCGGCGCCAAGTGCGTCTCACTGGGTTTTGAGATCAATGACAACAAGTTGCTTCAGGCACGCGCCGAATCAACTGGCAAACTGCAGCAAACAAAGTTGTCTCCGCAACGCAACTCGGCGCTGTTGGTGACCAGTCCAGGTCCTGCCAACATCTCCCAGATCGAGCAGAACATTGATCTGATTGTCAAGTCGCCAATGGTTAGTCTACTCAGGAAATCCTGCACAGTGGGTGAGCAACTCTCGTCGGAACAACAGCTATCGTCAGTCCCTCAGCGCCCCAAGGTGCTTGAACTCAAGCAGACAACAACCATTGCAATCGGTTCTCCCGGCAAGGAGACAGCTAGTCCACTGACCAAAAGCGCTAAGTTATCGGCCAGCCCGCCAACAACTCCTGGCAAGTGCAATCGTCGCGACTCCAACAATGTGGAGATGCAACCCGAATTCATGAAGATACAGCTGAATCGAGTGGATCAGGCACGCCTGCATAGCAAAACGAATCATCTGGTGCTGGCCAAGAATGTGAAATCGCCTTCGACGCCGACGGAGCGCAGTCAAAGCAGCGATGATCTAAGCATGCGACGTCTCAGCAACGAGAGCACGGGCAGCATACAGATTGTCGAGCGATCCCAGAAGCCAGTCAGTGCCACACGTACTCCGCCACAGCCATTGTCACCTCAGAGTATTAGCCAGACTACGGGAGCAGCCTTGGTCAAGCAGCAGCGTGCCGTTAGCGCCACCAGTTTGCGTTCCAGCTACGTGAGCAGCGGGAGCAGCAGCAATGGGAGCAACGAGGTGCTCGTCGCCACAGCTACAACTGTAATCTCACCCAGCACACCACCAAAGATGAAGCGCGTGGATGCCGTGGAGCATGAGAAGGCTAATGCGAATCGCCTATCGCTGGAGGAGCGCAAACGTCTATTCCTCAGCGAGGAGAAGACGCAGGCGGAACGCAAGCTGACCGAGATGCGCTACGAGCGCAAGAAGTCCATTAGCGAGGAGATCCAGAGAAAGCCCGAGACAATCACGGCCAGCTCGCCCAGCCCGCCCAGTTCGCCGGAAACTGGCAATGGGAATGCCGTTGTGCTGCGCAAGAAATCCTTTGCCAGCGCAAATGGCACTAGTAACAGCAACAGTATTGCTAATGGAAGCGCAATCCCCACGAGCCATGATGATCCCACGCCAGAGCTGATGAAAGTGTTCGCACGACGCTCACTGAAGGTGAAGGATGACGATGTGGTTGCAATAGCTCAGATAGCGGTGGCCAATCACAAGAAGATTACGAACGGCAGCCAGAGCATCGATAGCGACAAGGAGAATCACTCCAACAGCGAGGAGAAGCTGGACAAGCTGCCGACCACCCAAGACCCACCCAAAATCACACAATCCCACGGACACAGCAACACACAGTCCCACACCCAGTCCAGCGGCAATCATCGCAGCACTGTGGCTGACTTCCGTAATCTCAACAATAACTTGCAGCCTGCCCAGCAGAAGCTGGCCAATCTGCCGCCCATCAAGGTCAGCAATGTGCGCAACAACAACAGCAATAAGAACAATAACAATAACAGCAATAACAACAACAGCAGCACCAATAACAGTGTTAAACCAGCAAACGAAAGGTATTCGCTGCAGCTGAAGTCGGCAACGGCAACAGCAACAATTGCCGCTGCAGCAGCAACAGTTGCCGATGCCACAGAGGCACCTGGCCTGCCCATTGAGCGATCCGCAACGGTGGGCGAATTTAAGGGCATCCATCAACGTCGCGCCGAGTGGGAGCAGCGAGTGAAAGAGGCCCTCAAATAGGGCCCTCGATTTAGCTGGCAGAATTGATGTAGTGCTCTAAGCTGCTGTTAGCCAACAGCAATTGAGGTAGTGATATAGCGTCTGTTAATGCCCCCTGTTAACTAGAAGAATTGAGGTAGTGTTCTCGTAGTGCCTGCCTGCCTGTCTGCAATCCAAGTGCTTTTTGTCTAGTGATGCTCTCTAACATATAACAAAATAAACCCTAAAATAATTGAAAAAGAAATTTATATATATATATATATATATCTATATATAATAATATTAAAATATTTATAATGAATAGCAGTGTGAGAAACTCGTGGGCCGTTTTTAGAGCCCATTCCAAAGAAACGAGTTAGCGTCTTCGATCGATCTTCAAAATATTTAGTTTACATACTTGTAGTTTGAGTATAATTTGTGTTTGTGCACGTCCAAATCGTAACTAATAAAAGAAAAGTAAACAACAACACTAAAAACACAACTTTAAGGACTGTGAGTAAAATTTACAAAATAATATATAATGGCTTATGATATTCGAAACATCTGATTTGTTGTAAAGTTGATATTCATATTTTATATAAGCAAATTAATAGATGTATAGACATACTTACTGCTAGATAAATGCGAGCTTTTAAACATGGAACAGTTTCAACAAACTCTTAATTCTGTAATAGCATTTAATCTATTATTTTCATAGCAACTGTATACTATATATATGTGAATATATATATGTATATGTATATTGAAAATGTTGTTGGAATGTAAACTGTTCAAGTTTGGGAAAATAACATACACATATTAATAAAATATTCAATCGCGTGTATATGTACACCTATACACGATTATATATTACTTACAAGCATGAGATATATGTATATATATATACTTATATATATATATATACTATAAAATTAACAATCTGTATTCCAACATATACAAATAAAAGAAGAAAAACAGTTAAAACAAATCAAATATTTGAATATGCTTTATCAAATGCGCACCTCGAAGTAAGTATATGTCTTAATTTAAAATAGTAATAAATGTGGGATGTAGCTTTTTTGTTAAAATTTGGACACATAACAAATGTTGAAATGTCTCTAGTGGTCGAAAATTAATATTTATGTCTGTTTCTTTCATTTCAATTAATTTATCATGTCTGTTTAGGTATTTAATTGAATTGGTAAATAGAAAAAATACTGCTTGTGAGCAATTTTCAGATATTCATTTGAAATTATAACAATATTCAATGCATTCTTAAAATATGAATATCTTTCACAATATCTAGGCGGCATCCTACGATTTTAATTTATTGGCCAACTGATAATCTTGACAAATAGGACCAGTTTGAATTGATATTATGGCTGAGTTGGGCGCAGTCGGAAACCTAACTTCTGCTACATTTCATGGAACTTGATGCATTCCGAATGTTTTTCAATATAATTTGAATTTAGATTATGCCATAATTCCTTGAATGTCTGATCGAGTTGCAAATATGTTTTCCATTCGCCAATTGCAGTGCGTTCAATGATTTTGGCAAGCGACTAGCTTGATTTTGATTCGGTGGGTAAGAATATGTATTTATTTTTATTTTCTTTTTTTTTAAGAAATAACGCAAAATATTCAGCGAAAAATTGGAATTCATTAGTGTCAAGCGATGAATAAATGTGAAAACATTTGTATAAATAACGATTTGTATTTGCCTTATATACATATTAGCTACATGAATATAAATGTATGTAGTACACATAGCATATACATATATATATGTATGTGTATATATATATATATATATATATATATATATACATAAGCAGCTTTTGCGCCTTACCTATTGGGAGTAATTTAAATAATTTGAGTGTGACTCATTCAAACGTGGCTTTACAAAAAACTCACAATTCTACCTAATTATTAGATAATTGTCTAGAAGCGAGTGAGTTCTTTATATTTTCGTATTATGTTTGTAGTTTGGCTTAATCCGTCTGGCTGTGGACAACAGCCGACGATTGCCAGCAGACTCATTAGGCGATCGGTCAACGGGCATTACCTGCTCAACTCGACGAGCGGCAGACAGAAGACGTCAAAAGGCCCCAAAGTGGTGACCTCATGGATGCCAATTTCTCCCATGGCAATGGAGGTGTCGTCATTGTGCTCTCTCACTCGCTCATCAGCTCATCCGTTCACCCGCTTGCTCGCTCGCTGGCTCGTTTCACGGCGGACACACAGCGACATTAATGCTGTCTGTTGTGAATATACAAATGCTTGCGTTTAGTTTCAGTTTAAATCAGGAACGCGACGGACGGAAGCAAGATCCGCAGCAAAGAACGCAACGGGCGCCAAAAAGATCGCAAAGTGGAGAAGCAACATTTGTACTTATAGAATTATAAATAATACACACTAAATGCGTTCCACATACTAGATGGAATAGCGACTGACAGAAAATATATAACCAAAATTCTATATAGGAAAAGTGACCAGAATACGCTTTCCAAACAGGTGTCATGCCTAAATTGTGGCCTAATAACAATAAAGAAACATAAATTATAACCGTACATATATACAATATTAAGGATGCAGTCCCCAACTCCTACGCCGAGTACTCCGCCACCGTCGCGTCGCTCGAATCGTCCGCCGCGTATCAATATCCACAATTTACACAACAACAACTATGGCGGATCGGCGATGGGCGGCACCTCGATGCCGCCCAGTGCACAGCCACAGGCGCCATATACCTCACAGACAAACTACACCGGCACCGGCACAGGCGGTCCTTATTGGCCACCCGTGGCGAATCCCTTCGGTGCTAGCAACTTCATGACGAAGGGTTACGAGGGCTTCCTTGATCTCACCAAGTCTGGTATGAGTTTCGGCGAGAAGTTCACCTACGGCTTGTACAATAAGTTTAGCAAGTGGTCGAGACGATGGTTCACCCACTTCTTTCTCTTGGTGGTCCTCGCCCTGTACAGCCTCGGCGGAGCTCTCCTCTTCCGCACTGTCGAGAGTAAGTAATTGTAAATGGTGGTGATATGCTCAATCTGATCTGATTATTGATCGATGAGGTGTAAACAATCTCGCTAAAATGATTTGTTTGCTTATCGAGCTCTTCGGGCAATGGTTTTGAAAACACTTGCAGAATCAAAATACACAAATAGTTATGTCTGTTCGGTGTCAGGGTAAATCGTAAAATCGAATTTGTTATCTTCTGACAGTACACAAATATTTAACTTGACTGAACGAACGGATGAGCAAATTGGCTAACATAATTAAATACACACACTCAGACACACATACATGCAGGCAGCACAACCGATGACCCCCTCAGGGTTGTGGAACAAATTTAGTATAAACAATTAGAAAAGATGATGATTAATTCTTGCCTAACAACAACACAATAATTGCAGCTAGATTATTGGAAAAGTGCAAAGAAACAAAAATCGAGAAGAACTTTTTGTATATACTCAACATCCGAGTTTAGATACAAATCTTTTTGAGTGCCTTTAAAAAGTATCTCAATGTGCTTGTTTTCATCACAGTAAGTGATTTAAAAATATTTATCCATTTATTTAAAAATAAACTTAGGCTGGAGTAGTGAAAATTTTAAAACAATAATCTATTTATAATTTTAAAGAGTTTTTATTTGATTTGGAAAATCAGTTGAAACACTCTGAGTATGTCAAATGTAGAACACACCTGATATATATGTATAAATTTGTACTAATGTCTTTCACAGTGCGACCAGCTGCCCGAGAAATAGAAAATCTGCAATACCAACAAAAGATGTTCTTCAAAGAACTGCGACAAATGGCCCAAAATCCACTCTTGCATACGGTACGAGAAAAACATTAGGTCAAAGAAAAGTGTTATTAATTGTTGTTAATTATTCTGCAGTTATCAGAAACTGCATTTGACAGCGATGTGCTGCGTATAATGAACGATCACAGCTCAATTGTGGAGACTCTTTTACGATCGGGACTAACCCAGGAGGAGGATGCCATCCAAAAGAATCCGTGGTCCTTCTGGAATGCGATGGTCTACAGCAGCACCATTTACACAACAATTGGTAAGTTCAGATTTGTCACACTTCTTAAATTGGTCCTAACAAATACGTAAGCCAAATAAAATCATTATCAATTTGTCACTAGATTTATATTTAGATGTTTATATATATATATATATTTAAATATACTACTTTATCTTTTGTCGCAGACAGACAGCATATTTATTCTAAGGGAACTTGTCAACATTTTCTACTGAACTCAACTCAAAATAAGTGTGTGACACAAAAACAGGCAAATGGAAATAGTTTTCCGTTGGTCTTTCTTTTGCTGGCGAAAGTACCCTCACATACGTGTATGTGTGTATGGGTGTATGAGTATATGGGTGTGTGTGTGTATGTCTATATGGTGTTTATATAGAATAGGAACATTTGCGAGATATAGTAATTTATGTACTATATATTGCGCATCTGAATTCTTGTCTGTGAGCTGACAAAAATAATATCTCTTCATTTTCACTTTGGAAAAATGTCACCGTTTTTAATACAAGAATTTGAAAGCATATTTCTATTTAGACAGCAACGAAATTCACAGAAATCATTTCGTCCACTTGATCAAACTTAAGATTTTTGCCGTCCGAGAAATATTTGATGCGCCTCGAAACACTGCAAATTGCTCAATAATCATAATAATGAAATTAACAATTAAACCAAAATTTATTGAGCTATGAATTTAATGCTGAAAACACAAATTCACGATTCTTGAATAAAATCTCAGGCAATTAAAATAAACACGAAAATGAGCTTAATGCGAATTCGATCCGTCATCAAGTGAATAGCATTGCGTATACGCCACGTGTGTTTGTAGGAGCACGTCTGTCAAGAGTGTGCTTAATTAAATAATACATACAAACCACAAACGCATGTGGTCAAATTGGCTGGGCATTAAATTCTTATGAAAAAGGAACACTTTTAAAATATGCATGTTATGGGTGCCAAAATATTTATATTTACGTCACGAATGTTGATGGTGAAAATCAACGGCAAATATTATTAATTGAATTTTCATTCGAATTTCCATACTCACTCATGGTCAGTGGGATACTTTTATATGGAGTGTGATTTACCAAATTTAAACACAATTTTTATGAGCAACAAGTCACGATCAGCGGCCAGCGGAAGGAAACAGCATTCGCTACTCCAAGTTTTCTGACGCATAAACCTTGTCAGAATTCTCAAAAATGAAAAAATAATAAACTTAATTTATTTATTTACATATTATGATAGGGTCATAATAAAGTAGATGTATTCCGCTGTATGTTTGCTTTTTAAAACAATATCAACAAACACTGCTTGGTCAAGCATGAACAAAGTTCATTCTCTTAAACTTGACCCTAATATTCCAGTACTCTGAGATTAAATATTAGCAAACATTATTCTGTAATCTTTTGGGCTGATAAATGAGTCTGTTTTACAAAAAAAAAAAGAATGATTCGCTGCTCAACATTTTCTGACTCATAAACCTTGTCAGAATTTTGAAAAATCGAAAACTTAATTTAGTTTTCTACAGAATATGATAATCCAGAATATTATTATAGAGTAGATGCAATCGATGTTGTCATGCTCAGCTCTCTATTTGCTTTTTAAATCAAATTTTATTCAATATATAATACTTCTTAGTCAACCATCCATGAAATTCAACCTCGAGAACTTGACCCCAATATTAGCTGTGAATAAATGTGATTAATAACAAATATTATTCCGCAATATTTGCGGCTGATTAATGAGTCTGTTTTACAGAAAAAAAATCATATTTTTGTAATCACGGCCATAAATACAAATTGATGACAGTTTTAAAAATACTAAAATTCCCAAACATCAATAAATAAACCAGCATAAATTGCGTGCTTTATTATCTGTTAGGTAATTGAGACAAGTCTGCGACTTTTGAGCATGCGGTAAATAAAGCACTTTGGCGCCAAACATTAGGCAAAAGCTTTAAAGCTTTTCCACAGTAGAGGTGCAAAAAGTATGCCAAGCATCAAACGTGTCCCAGAAAAGGGAAAAGTGTTTCGCTTAATTATTGTGAATTATGACAGTTTAACGCTTATAAACAATAAATTATGTGACATACATAAATATGGATATAAACAGATATCAAAATTGCTCGTAAATCTCAACAGTGGTGGACATGCTAATAGACACACAAATAGGCAGATAAACAGCTGTTTAAATTTTTCAAAAAACACAAAAAAAATGTATACAAAATATTTTCGAATATTTTCATGGCGAGAGCAGTTGGAAGCCAGACGACGTTGTAGGCGAAAGTGCGAGCAGTGAATACGTGAAAAGCGCGACGTGCTCGAGAATAGAATATATTCGAAAATATTTATATATATATATATGATATATATACACAGTATATATACAAAATAAATATAAAGTTGTGCATATAGTAATTTTGGTGGTGGCAAAGGGAATTTCAGATTTTGAGGTGTCGATAAACCTGAACGTTTACAGCATTATCTTATTACAGTACACTACAGAAGCCAAGTCAAGCGCTATAAAAAGAAATTTGCATGCATAAAAGTGATATAATTACAATTTCAGAAATAAGTTTTCCATTTGGAACAAAATATGAACGCCTAAAAATAGTGCCATGAGCTAGAAAAGAACAGAAAGCGAGATAGCGAGAGCGAGAGCGAGGGAGAAAGACGAACAAAGAAAAATTAGCACAATTTAAGATACTTGTTGGTGGCCATGGAGAATGCCGGGGAACTCGGAGCATCTTCGTCCAGGCAATTGAGGCATCGTCGACGCGCTGGACGCAGTCAGCGGGAGCAGACTCCCGATGCGAGCCGACCATCATCGCTGGTCATTCAATCTGGGCTGGATCAGGATGACTATGGGGCGCAACATGTCTCTATGCAGATACGGCCGCCAGGAGCAATGTCCGCTCACGAGAGCAAGATACTCCGTAGACGAGATAAGGCCTTCGCTGGCGTTGCAGCCCGCAGTCAATCGCAGCCGCGGGAGGCGGAGAAACTTAGCAGTCCGGATGCAAATCATCTGATTAAGCATCGGAGCTTGTCCTCGCCACGGCACAAGGACGAGTCCAGTGAGAGTGAACTGACGGGCAGCTCCCAATCCTACACAGCTCAACAGCAGCAGCGTGCCCAGGATTCGCTCAGTCGCCTGGAGCAGAATCTGCAGCGTTTCGAGGGTGAGCGTCGGCGATTCGAGACTGAGAAGCGGCTGTTTGAGCGAGAGAAGCGGGAGCACAAGTTGCGTCATCGCCAGCAATTGGATCACGAGGAGCGCAAGCGACTGCTGCAGAGCTACAGGAAGATCAGTGACAGTTTCCAGTTGCCCCAAGATGAGGATGAGCGCCGTCGACTGGTGCAGAGTCTGCGCCTGCAGCGCCACGAGGTGCCTGCGGTGCGCTTAAGGAATCGCAGCAGCGGCTATGACGAATCCTCCACGCAGTTCAGCTCCTCCGATGCGGATACGGCCGAGGAGCAGCTGACTAGACAAAAGCCAGCAGTGCGCAAGGCAACAGTTTCGCTGCCCATTCGGGGTGCACCGCCTCCGCCCCCGAACGGAACACAGCAGGCACCGCTAAAGCCACCCGAGCGTGCCTCGGTCAGTCGCAATAATTCGCTGTCCCCAGTGCGACCACAGCGACGCTCGAAGACGCCCGAGCAGCGAGAGAGGCAGGAGATCAAGCGAAAAATGGAGTACGTTGAGGTAGGGGAAACTCCTAACGAGATCGTCGTGAATCCAAAGCGAACCGAGGAGGAGCAGCGCACAGAACTGCGTCGAGCCTATGTGGAGGCAGCTGAAAAGGCAGCCATTGCAGAAGCCGCCCTGGCCAAGAGTCTGGGCACCTTCTCCGTGGACAAAGTGAAACGCAGCCATAGCCTAAGGATGCCCGACAAGGATCAGGAGAAACCCAAGCCCGACACCAAGCGTAGCAGCAGTCTGGAGCGTCCACAGAGAGCAAAGCGCACGTCGAGCCTGGAGAGGCCAAAGAAAGTGGAGGATGTACAGGCCATCCCAGCAAGCAACGAGGAGGAACCTCAGGCAGTTGAAATCAAACCCGAAGTGGAAACAATACCGACTACAACTGAAGAGAAACTCTCGCTCCTTCGACGCCTTGGTAACCTTTTTAGAAGCAAGCCAAAGCACATCGAGGAGCAAAGATCTGTGATCACATTGGAGCAACCAGAGCCTGCGAAGCTCCTCTCCCGAGCATTTCTACATCGCCTACGGCTGGAGGCGGTTCACGAGTGGCGACGCCTCAAACTCGACTATCCTGTACGCATGGCGGAGACAAGAAGGCTGCGAAACGAATGCGTTTCCCACTCCATATTGTTAATACTCCTGCTCGGCTTTGGGGGACTGCTCTTTCGGTATACGGAGGGTATGTCCGAGAACATCTACAAGTGCGAGGTGCGCAAGGTGAAGAGGGATTTCATCGACAATCTCTGGGCAGTCAGTCACAATATGAGGTACCATTTCTCAGCTGAGTAAAGCATTGACAGGTTCTTGAACTCACTTTATTTATTGATTGCTAGAGAGGATGACTGGAAGTCCTTGGCGCGCCATAAGCTGCGCAACTTTGAGGATGAGCTCAATACGTTGGCCGAGTTGGGTCTGCGACGATTTCCGGGCCAGAAATCATTTAACTTTGTCAATTGCATTATATATTGCTGGACCGTTATCACAACTATAGGTAAAAGAAAAATGAGAAACGTTATCCTTGATGTACTTTTTACGGACTAAAATCTCATTGATGAAATCTTGCATAAGTTCCTCCTTTGTATCTTTCGACTATAATACCTATAATTATTTGAAGATAAAGTTTTACTATGTATATATAACAAATTATGAATTGAATACAATATATTTTAAATTTAAAAAATAAAAAATATCCTTACCACAAAACATAAAATAATAACTAAATCTAACTATAAGAAATGAAAGCAACTCCATTTTTAAATCTAATAAATACTAAGTGTGATTTGTGTAATTTCTAAACAATCTTTTAAATTATATTGTCAACATAAATTGCCGACTTAATAATGATTCGTCTTTCACTTTTTCTCGTCCACCAGGTTACGGTCACATAACTCCAAAGACGACCGTGGGACGCTCGCTAACCATAATCTATGCCATCATTGGTATTCCAATGTTTTTGATTGTGCTCGCGGATTTGGGCAAACTGTTCACGAGGAGTGTGAAGTTCCTGTGGGCGTATGTGAGACGGGTCTACTACACACGCTCCTGTCGTCAAATCCGGAAGCAGCAACAGATCCGGGATGCAATGACCGGCATAAATACGGTCTATGACATGGCCATACGACGTCCGAGCATGTTCTTTGGGATGAGTGATGTGCCGGCGGATGAGGAATCTCAGGATGCTGAGGCTGGCAAATCGGGCACATCCCATCCGGAGACTCCGACCTCACCCTACCCGGAAACCTTTGAGGTTGACGATGAGTTCAATTTGCCGGTTTCAGTGGCTTCCATGCTGCTCATTGCTTACATTGTGCTTGGCAGTGTTGGATACACTTTCATCGAGACGAGCTGGTCCTACCTGGATGCCTTCTACTTTGTGTTCATTTCGATGTCCACCATTGGCTTTGGCGATCTGGTGCCGGGTAATCCCTTCTACGTCATGGTCAGCATGATCTATCTGATTTTTGGCTTGGCGTTGACCTCCATGTTCATCAATGTGGTGCAGATTAAGCTCAGTGATCATTTCAAGCGTGCCAGTGCCAAAGTTGGAGCAACCATTGGCATGGGCGTTGCCAGTGAGTTTGGGGATGAGTTCGGATCGCAGGTGAAGATACCATCGGAGCTGGCATCGGTGCACGGATCGCGCTTGGGTCCCATCGAGGAGGATGGCCACGAGGCTCCCAGTCCCCAACCACCTCTGACCTCTATTCTGCGAGCACCACGCCCCCAGTCGCCCACTTCTCTACCGGGGGAGCCCGCAGCTAACTCAGAGGATACCCCGCCACCATTGATGCCAAAGCGACAATTGGATCCTCAACAGCAGCCAACGCCAACTTCGAGCGAGAAAAAGAAGAAATATCGATTTTTTTAGAAATCATCTTGGACTTACAACTTAACAGAATTCGAGCTTATTCTAATTAAAGCTCTGCACACATGAGAGTCCTTACAACCTGAATCATACTTACTAGCATAAGGAAAAATGACACGAATAACTGTAAGCGAATATATGCCCTGCAATAGGGGCACATTTATTTGTTTCTCTAATTAATAATGTAGTTTAAAAGTATTTATAATAAAATCTATATGAGTTCTTATAAATGTTTTATGGATTAAAGTCTTTGTTTATCTATTAATCATTATTTCAATGCAGATACAAGAAAAATGTGACATATTTGAAAGATATGCATAAAAATGTAAGTGCATTTATTTTGGGTATAGAATTAATCTAATCGGTTCAATTTTGAATAAGTTAAAGGAAGTGTTAAAGTTTCATAGGGATATTTATGGGTAACTTTAAACAGTTAGATCGCAGTTAGAAAATATCCCAGTGGACAATTGCCTTTAACTGCTAACTGGTCACATACTGCTTGTCACAGATGTAGGGGAATTTCATGCATGCATAATGTAACACACATATTTACTAATACAAACACCACACATCGCCCATAGGAAGCAATGCACATCTGCCAGCCTGAAATGAAATGAATTTAGTGGTCGGAGCCAATCTGATGTGTGTGAGAGTAGCGTGTCTCCGTCTCCCTTTTCTGTGGTGCGTTATGCGACGGGTAGATAGAAGTAACGGAAGTACGAGGGGAACTGGAGTGCTGACTGAAGAGAGCACAATGCTTCACGTAACTCTCTTTGTGATGCTCCCTCTCCCTCGTCACTGCACAATACGTCGTCCTGTCGTTCGGCTCGGGTTCTTGTGTGTGTTTCAATGCCAGAACGTTCCATTAGCTGGCGCTGTTCGTAGTGGGTCCGTCGTCAGTTGTTGTTTTGAAACGTTCGTGTGCGGTTTACTTAGCGGAGCATTTGTGTCGCCTCGCTAAACGAAAAGACGCGCCAAAAATTAGCGCTTGAAAGTGTGCGCGTGTGCTTATGTGTGTAAATGTGCAATACTGCAATGCATATAGCAAATAGCAAATAGCAAATAAATACTAATTAAACAGTTGCAACAAAAAAAAAAGTTCTATGACTGGTGCCAAAGTCAAAATAAAATTCATAGGAAACGCGAAGACAACAAAACGGAACAAAATTTCTGATCGAAACAACAACAACTGCCGGTTACAATTTACTATTGCGTAGCATTAACTATATGCATAGCTACAAATACATACGCATTTCCTTTTGTTGCCGCGTGTGCCATTTACTATGAGAGACAACTAGCTTCTCAAAACTACAAATGTAAAACAAAAGCAACAACAACAACAACAACATTGCCAGACAACCAGGTGTGCTTGGGTTTTTTTTTCTCTGTTTTGGTTGTTGTTCTTGCAGTCCTATATTTTGCGGCGTTCATTCAGCCAGTTACGTTTTCTCTCTCTTTCTTTTTTTTTTGGTTGTGTTTTGCTGCATTCATTTGCTTTCAAATAAATTTCCTTTTCAACAAATATTGCACAGCGGCAGCAGCTGTCAGCATCAAATGCAAGCAGTGAGCATACAAAACATACACTCACACATGTGTGCATACATCCACACATACAATACTTATGCACATATGTAAATGCCTAAGTACATTGCACTTTTTGAGTCATTGAAAACTTAATAAATGCATCTTATTTTTTTTTAAATTAAATCACATGGTTCAAGTGTTAAAAACAAACAGTTCTTTTTGCTTAAATAACAAGTACGAAACAAAAAGGGAACTCATCTACTAAAAAATACTCGTCAGTAAACTATAGTTAAAATGTCCGCAATTAGCAGTCGCAATCAGAAAATGGAACAACAGGTAAGTGTGAAATGAACAGTTATTTAAATTTCTACAAGTATTGACTTACACATTGCTGTTCTTAAATCTATCGTTTGCCCTTACTTATTTAAGTACCAAGATAAGTACAGTCGAAAAAAACTTATCCAACATTCAAGTATTAGAGATATTCAATTTATATATATATTTATTTTTTAATTTGGTCTGAGATACAGAAAGTTGGACTTGAAAAGTTTTTATAAAAGTTCGCCTCTTTGGGCTTAAGAGCAATTTCGCCTTTAACATGTCTTGTGTATTAGATATGCACATATAATATGCAAAGCAACAAGGTCAGATAGCAAATAGTATGTAATATCTAAGAAATTGCACACATGTGAACAGCAAATATTTCAAATTGTCGGTGTCGAAATCGGTGTGTTTTGCGAATTTTACGTGTTTAATTTGCTGTGTTATAACAAAGATGTGGCTGTGTATCCCCTGATCAGCTGCCCCAGCTGCGACAGCTGCCTCACCTGGTGAATTGAGTGTCTTGCTGTTCCCCAGGTACCTTTGTCAAATTAAATTGAACCTCAAACTGCGTAAACCAGTTGTTGAAGACGGGTTGCCTTCGACACGGTGTCGCCCCAATGGGCTTATCTCAACCCTCGACGGTTCTGTTGTTTGTGTTGCCAAATGCCGGTTGCCAGTTGCTCAGAAGTCAGCATTGTCATTAGTTTGGGGTGGCAATCAGAGCCACACAAATTGAAACAGTTCTCCAATTTGTCCAATGATTGCTTGATGATGTTACCCTCTGTAACTTGTATACTTTTCTAATGAAAATATTGATCGAATTTTGTTTGATACAAAAAAAAAACCACACACAAATCACAAATTTAATGGAACCCAAATTTTTATTATTAATTAAGCAAATATTCTAATAATAATATTAGCTACAGCGTAATTTCGAAAGGTTTTCATTTCACAAAGGGCTGAAAAAGGATTTATGAAAAGTTGGCCCCACTCCAAAATCTCTCACATTGAAATTCCCACAAGTCAATTACAGTCAAGTTTGCAAGTCTTTGAGTCATAGCTGGTCCTTCCGGCTGTACCAAGACATTAGTTAGATAAACATTGTCGAATCTGAGTCAGTTTAAACCGTTGCGCAAATTAAAATCAACAAACAGAACAATCAACGACATAAAAAAATATGTAAATATAAAAAAAATGTATGTGAATAAAATAAAATAGGAGCTAACAGCTCCCACTTAGCATAAATCAGCAAGAATATTTGGGACAGTCGTATAATTCAGCGTTAAAAAATACACAAAGGATTAATAAAACCAAAAATAAAACTTTCTGGACTACACGCCGCAAGCAGGAAACTTTTATAGTTGTAGTTGTTGTTGTGCCCTGCGTAACTAGGGGCAACTATTGTAGACTAAACAAACACACACACATATATGACAAGTATTTTGATTATTCTTATTTTTTCCAGTTAGGGCGTGGAAAATTCCAGAAAGGAGAGACAACACAAAGGGAAAGAGAGAGAGAGAGAGAGAGAGAGAGAGTATGAGTAATATCGATTGCATGTGTAATTGAAGCCCAAAAAAAAGGAAAGCAATAAATTCGCAAATTATTTGCCAGGCGCAAACAGCTCGTGACTTATCGAGCTCATGTGCTCAGACAGGGAGAGTTGTGGGCAAGGGGAAAGGGATAAATTGAGGACCTGTTAGTGAGACTGTATCATATTAAGTACTACCCAGTCCGTGTGGTTACTACTTAATAAGTCAGCTGCCAAGAGTCAAACAGTCTGTCACCTCAGTCCACACACACAGCCGACAATGTCTTTAGGCCACACACCTGAGCATTCAACACGTTTTGCCAAACTTTATGTGTGTGTGTGTGTGTGTGGCCAATGGCGTTAGCCCCCCAAAAACCTCACAGGGCATAAATGACGCATCGGGCTGACTTTTGTTTTCGTCGCCTTCAGCCTTTTTGGAATTTCTCCAATTTGCGCCAGGGTTGTAATTTTCGGGGTGCTGTTTTACGGTTCTTGACCTATGGCTGCTGTTGCTTGCGACTTAGCAACTAAATTTGCTGTTATATCCGAAAACTTTTCCCTAACAATACCTCAATGGTAATAAAGTTGAAAACTCAACTAAACACTTTCTCTAAACATACTCCACAACCCACAGTGCGACAAACCAAAGACACACCACAGAATTCCAAAGTCTACTTCACTGCACCAAACATAATAAAATCGTTTAAGCTGGCAGCTATTCGTACGAGGGTTTATCAGTAGGTTGCTGCCTTAAAGAGTATGTGAAAGTTGAATAAAATAGTTTGCTTATAATGTAATCTCAGCTAACTCTGATTCTGCTAAGACTAACATTTAGGAAACTACAATTTTATCACTCTCTAAGTGTTTAGTTCTTATAATCTGTGAAATACTTTTTATTTCTCATATAAATTATTCGTTTGGGCTAGAGTTTCTCTCCCTAATCATGGGCTCCAAACTCGCCTTCCTTCCAAATTAAGTTTGGTGTCGATTGACAGCTGACACCAAGGCGACACTAATGATTATTTATGTCAGCCAACGCCAGCTGTTCTGTAATCCTCTTATTTATTGAACGACCCTTGTGCAAGAATGCTATTATTGCCACATTGGCGACTGCAATTTGTGGCATGCACCAACAAAAGTATACCTAGCAAATCCTTAGCAAAACCATTCGCAGGGTTAGAAGAACATTAGCAGAAGAAGCGAAAATAAGGATAAAGACGAAAGCATAAGCGTAATAGAAATCTCGCTCGTAATGCGGCAACATTTGTCGCAATTTGCAATTTATGCAATGCAAATTGTGTCCTCCGAAGGAAAATCTCATTTCCCTTGCAAATTTGCCACTGCCGTGAATTGCAATTTGTCGGTTAGAACATTGCCAAGTTCCCGGGCAGCATTTTTGCCAACTTGATTCAATTAAATATGGCCAATAAAGTTTCACAAACTGACACAAATTGTGCACACATGCAGCAGCTTAACCAAAATTAAAATACAATTTGAAGCCAGATAGTCATTTCAAACTAATCAAAACTTAGATTTGTTATACGAAAACTATCATATTTTATAACTATGCACATTCCTCATCTACTGTACTCATCATTCAAAAGATTATGCAAATTACAAGCTTTTTGCATGGATAGAAAAAAAGCGTTTTCAATTTGACTTATAAGAGAGAAGCAAATGCTTTGGAATCTGTAATTGGTTTGTCATTAGACAGACAAAGACACAAATGCCTGATGGTAGCACTGATTAAATGTTTTGTGGATTGTGTTTTCTCCTGCAACCGATGTATCCTAATCCAAAATCAATTTCCAGCAAGAATGTACAGTTGAGGTTGTTGATTAATCGAAATTTAGTATCCCATACACATCAATTACCATTCACATTAGCCTCTATGCTATATAGACATAACAGACTTTTAATTTTAATACACCACAGAACACTAACGTTTAGGAAAACCAATTATAAATGAGCTTAAAATGTTTAAGCTGTCATGCAGAAAATAAAGGTGTCAATTCACAATTTTTAATATTTAATTGTCAATTATTAATAATTCATATCTATGGTGTCTGCATTCGGCGGCTGCATTAAACACGAGTGCAAATTAAAAAGCATTCATTAATGCTTTATTGAATTTTGATAACAAAATAATTACGACATTTATAAAAGCATTCGATTAAAATGCAGAAAACGGACTGAGAACCATTAGTGCCAATCGCTTGAATACTAATTGTGTATTATGCACAAATACCTTTTATGCTGATGAAAAATGCTTTATCAAAGCAAAAGTTAAAGAAAAATGCTGCTGTTAATGCTGTCAATAACAAAACGAGCTGTATAAAATCAGCATCGAAATCAACTGCAGATGAAAGCGCATTAGAGGTGGGAGAATTCAACTGGATTAAATGAAGTAAGACTCTTTTGGCTTAAGTGCACAGTGGCTGTGGCAGTAAAGTGGGTCATGGGAATTATGACCCTACTTGCAACAAAACCAGAAATGCGTCAAATCAACGAAATGTGCCACAAAAAATACCAACAGGGGACCCAGGCACTAAACACCAAACACTCAACGCGACTGCTTAAGGTTAGTCACAATTAGCCGGGAGAAAAGCAACAATCAGAACCAGGCCGCAAATTAGGAAAACAACAAGCAACCGAGGGGGTGGCAAGAGTGGTAGTAGAAGGCCTTCAAAGGGGCGGGCGAAATCACAATTTGGTACGGTAAAGAGGGAAAGTTCAACGAGTTTCGGGAATGGCATTTGTGCCATTTCACGCGAATTAATTGTTGCATACTCGCGCAATCAAAACAAGTACATCAAGCGAAACAAAAAGCAATCAACTAACAGTTGTTATGTATGAATTATAATATACATTGTATTATATAACTTTAAAGAGCTTTAACTACAAGTTTTAAAACTTGATGAGCACTTTCAGAGTTTAATGTTAAGAATAGCCTGACAGACACGCAGCCCCAAAAAGGCATAAAACAATGCCACACTATAACAGCGACAGCACGACTATAATATATAATGGCCATGTTTGCTGCCGGGGCTAAAACCAAGCAGCGCTGCCTGCAGACATGTGGCAACATTATTTTGTTAGCTTTGAATATATCCTATAATATAAGTATTTCTTTTTACAATTAAATTTGATACATGAATTATTTGAAATGGTCTACAAAAATATAATCAACACCTTTAAAATAGTTCCAAAGGATTTTTGAGGCAAGCTTCTAAATTTAATAATCAGATATACTATCCTAAGTTTATGAAAGGATTTGAGCACGAACATCAGCTTCTATTTTCATTGTACTAAAAGTAAAATGAGCACTTCAGTTAAGGTGCTTGGGTCCAGCACTTTATCATACCTTTGGCAAGATTCTAAAATTAATAAACAAATATATTATACTGAGCTTAGAGAGAGCATAGGAAAGGATTCAAGCACGCACTTCTACTTCATTGCCATTGTATCAAATAAGCACTTC